CGCAGCCGCCGGGGCCGCCCGGAAAAAAAAAAAAAAAAAAAAAAAAAGGCAAGCCCACAGAGGAGGCGAGCATGCGCACTGGGGAGACGGCGCTCTCTCGTGTCGCGGCCGCCCCTGCGAGCCCACAGCGCCGCCTAGGGAGCGGAGGCCGTCCGCTCGGGGCCGGGCGAGTGTAAGAAACCTGAGCGGCGCCTCCCCTGCTCCGCTCCAGGGCTGGGGTTGGGAGTCGTTTGAGGCGCGAGCTTCCTGCGGTTACTAAACAGACTGAATCCGCGCCGCGGTCAGAGGGCGGCGACGTGCTACGGCGTGCACGGGTGCAAGCGTGCTTTCCGCCCTCTGTGCCACCCTGGCCTTGGGTGTCAGTGCCTGCTTCCACATTGATTGTCACTTCTTGAAAGCCACTGCCACCAGCAAAATAACCTAAACGTATGAGTACAGCTTAACTACATAAGGGTAGGGGCATTCTTCGGTTTTAGCAGCTGCCTTAAAAGTGAACTTGAGTTATTTTAAACACGCCTGAGGACTTGTTTCCTGTTCTTTGTAGCCTTGAACTAGCTTTCAAAAAGGAACAATTCCTATTTGGTCTCACCTCCCCATCCCCCAACGGGCATGTGACTGAAGTAAGTTCATAAGTTTGGGTTTACTGGCTTCATATTTATTATTAACGACACTTCTTGGTAATCTAGGGAGATGATTTTTAAAAGTTTGTGGATTAGACATGTCTTCCTCTTTCATATTTCTGCCCAAACCAAGACTCCCTGTATTCTTTCTCCAGATGAATTGTACCACTGTTTACCTATTTGCCAAATCTAGAAACCAGAGTCATCCTGGACTGATCCCTTTCAGCATCCTTCCATATCCAAACTATTACCAAAGAAACCCAAGGCCATTGAGTCCCCCCTTCCCTTTCCCACTGCTGCACCCTCAGGAGGGGACTCACTGCTCACCTACAATATTACAAGTCTGGTGAATGCCTTAGTGGTTTAAGAACATGGGTTTATAAGTCAGAATTCTGTCACTCATTATCTGTATGATCGTGGTTACTTATCTCCATGAGATTCGATTTCTTCATTTATTTATGTATTCATGCATTCAAAAAACTATTTATTGGGCAGCTACCATATGCTAAGCACTGGGGATATAGAAATGAAGGAAAAGTACAATTGAACCTATTCTTATGGGCTTTCATTTTAGTATGGGAAGAGGATCTTTACACAAGATTTGAAAAGTGAAACATGTCTTAAATTGAGATGAGGGTCCTGGAGAAAAATAAAGCAAGGGGAATAGGGAAAGTGTGGGAAATTGCATTTGCCTGAAGACTTGAAGAGGTGAGGGAGCAAACCATATCATCAATAAAAAGGAGATAATTGTAGTACCTGTAGCCTACTTTAGCAATTAAATGAGATGATTCAAGGAAAGTGCTTAGTAGAGAGTTAGGTATAAATGTTACCTATTATTGTTATTATTTTTTCTTTTTGGCCACGCTGCTTGCGGGATCTTAGTTCCCTGACCAGGGATTGAGCCGGTGCCCCCTGCAGTGGAAGCAAGGAGTCCTAACTGCTGGACTACCAGGGAGGTCCCAAATGTTAGCTATTATTATTTTCCTACTTTCTGATCAAACAATTACTAGTTTTACCTACCTCCAAATCACCTTCCAATTTCATATTAGAATGATGCTTCTAACAAAATTTTTCAAATTTTTTTGGTGGTTTCCCTTTTCCTTTATGGGAAGCTAGCATGACTAAATAGTGCTTTATGGTTTGGCTTCTGCCTACCCAGACATGCTCAAACCCTTCCTCTATAGGCCCCAATCTCTTAGTACCAGCACTACTGGCTTCCCACTCTATACACACGATAGTCTGCTCTCTTCCCACGCTCTCCCTGGCTTTGTGCTTGCTGCTGCTTCTGTCTGGGATGTTTTCTCCTCTCCCCTCATCTACACACCCCACGCCTACTGTTCCTTCAAATCTCATTCACAGGTGACTTCACTGAAACCTTTACTGACTTCTGTGGCCATCTCTAATGACTCAATTGCATTTAAAAAAATAGCTTTAATGAGATATAATTTATATCACATAGTTCACCTATTTCAAGAGTACAATTTGATGATTTTTAGTATATTTACAAAATTGGGCAACCACCACCATAATCTAACTTTAGAACATTTTTATTATTCCCCAAAGAAAGACTTAGTTTTTGTTCTTGAAACTCGTATACCTGGAATGGAAGACAATAAACAAGTCATTACCAATGTGATGGGTATTTTCAAGACTTGTTTGGTGAAGGGTGACATGGAAATATTCTAGGTCATTTGGAAATTAATTGTTCCACTAAAGTGAGTTTTTAAACTGAAATGGACTCTTTCAAACCTTAAAATTTAATTATTTTTCACTCTTTTGTGAGAAAATACCCCCACTGGTGTTCTTTTAGTTGCATGAAACCTACCATACTCTGGACAGCTGTAGGACTTGGGATGACCGTTGGACTTGGCAATTCAGAGGATGTGAGTTTGTGGCAGTGTGGGTTATCCAGGAAACAGATGCCAAGACAGAGTTAGAATCGTAAGGGATTCGTCATCAATAACGTTTGTGAAAAATAAATGGGAGAGGAGTCGGTAGGGAAAGGCTGCAGACCACGAAGCCTGTCTGACACCTGTGAAAGGAAGGAGGGAGGACCCGTCAGGAAGACCTCACGCTGAGGTGCAGCCTGAGAACATCTCGGCCAGCCCAGCAGGGCGCTTCAGCACACTGGGCAGAAATGGTGGGTCCTTGTAGTACTGCTCTGCTTAGTCAGGGGCTGGGGGCTCCCGCCATGCACTCTTGCCATCTTCCAGAGAAAGTCACAGCTTTTGCCAGGAGGTCCTCTCCCACCGCTCTCTCTCAGGCTCAGTTACCTACCTGCTCCTTCCTCTGGCCCCTTGAATCACTCCATGGTTACAGCCAGTATCCCTTGTGGTTTCTGAAGAGTCCTTTTGTGAAAATTTCCTCAAATTACCCACTTTGAATGTGCCATTTGCTCCTGCTAGGACCCTAGCTTACTATGAAGATCATTAGTGACCTTCAAGAGAGTGTTTTCTTTGGAATGATAGGAATAAATAGCTGATTGGAGTGGGTTTCGAGAGAGTGGGAGGTGGAAACATGGAGGCATGTGTATAAGCAACTCATTTGAGGAGTTTTTCCTATAAGATGAGACAGAAATGGGCAAGTAGTTAGAGAGGGGCTGAAGGGTCTAGGGAAAGTTTTTGTTTTCTTTTTGGATATGATCCATTTTAAACAATTTTATTGAAGTATAGTTGATTTACAATGTTGTGTTAATTTCTGCTGTACAGCAAAGTGATCCAGTTATACATGTATATATACATTCTTTTTCATATTCTTTTCCATGACGGTTTATCACAGGATATTGAATATAGTTCCCTGTGCTATACGGTAGGACCTTGTTGTTTATCCATTCTGTATATAATACTTTGTGTCCACTAATCCCAAACTCCCAACCCGTCCTTCCCCATGGATATGATCTATTTTATGTTTGCACGCAGAGAGAATGACTCATTAGAGCAAGAAGTTTCTTCTGCAGGAGATACCTGCAGGTCTGTAAGAGGTGATGGCATCTTGTATACAAGTACAGGCACCCACCGTAACAGGGATGGGGTTCCCACAGTAACCAGAGGAGAGCAGAGTTTGTGGATAGGTTAAGAATGGCTAGATGAAGTTGTGTTCTTGTTTCCATTTTCTCAGTAACATATGAAATCATCAGGAGTGGGGATAGTATACTGGAGACTGAGGAGAAAAAGGAGTAAAACTGTGGGAGGGTGAATGGATTAGAGGAGTGTCATCAGACAGCAGTGCTTCCTCCTTGAGGACCTGCATTTAAAGTGAGACTAGTAAGCAGAGCCCCATAATTATCTTCGGTCCCATCCCCCTGCTTGGATACAGCTCTGGAGAAGGCAGAGAGTTGGGGTCTGCCAGGCCAGCATGACAGAGGGGCAAGGATGTTGAGGGGAATTGCAGAATAGGCCAGGGCTGTGAGGAGGTGGCTGTGCTTCTCCTACCTGGTCACCCTCTACCCGCAATCCACCCTGTTTTGCTGTGAAAGGCAGACCTCTTCAGATCGCATCACTGAAGCTCCCTGGCCCTCTGACTTCAGCCAATGGAAGGCACTGGCCAAAAACCAGAAGCGAGTTTTGGGGGTTTATCCTCCCTTGATCCCTCCTGGCCTTATGATGGTTCTGGCCGGGCCTGTGTTCTCTGGTGGCCACAGCCCCTGTCAGCCTTTCTGTCACGTGCCAGCTCTTGCTGGGCTCAGTACCTCTTTCTCTCCCCTGCGTCTTCGGGCTGCCCGGGAGCTCCCCTATCTCTGCTTGGTTCTCTCAGCCGGCCCGCTCCTCTGTCCATAGGCCTTTCATGAAATTCTCTCCAGCTCAGCCCTTCCGAGGGTGCCATCTGTTCCTTGCCAGTTCTGTATCCTCAGATACAGAGTGCTGGGGCCTCGGAATTGGGGACGCCCACGGGGTGGAAGATGGTTGGAGTGGGGCTAGTTGGCCAAAGAGCAAGTGGTCAGAGGGTGGGGTGCTGCGGATGAGTCCTGAGGTCGTGCGGTCCTCGGCCATGAGACGGGAAGGGCGTGATGGAGGGCGCACGTCGGAAGCAAGGAGTCGTCGAGGCAGTAGGAGGGGAGAGCGCCCTCCACGCGCTTTATGGATGGTCTGTCGCCCGGAGGGACTCAGGGAGCAGAAGGGGAAGGGCGCGGGCGCAGACATCCGGCACGAGTGAAGAGGATGAAGAGGGGTCAGGAGCCCGGTGAGCGGGTGACGGTCGCGGGGCCGCGGGCAGTGAGTGGGTGGTGTAGTTGGAGGGCATGGGCTTCCAGAAGAGCGCGGGTTTTGGGGGGAGGGGGGAGAGCTCTCTGTCGGCAGCAGGGAGGGGCATGGGCACACCCACTCCCCCGCTGGGCTCTGCTGCGTGCTGGGGTGGGCGGGAGAGCAGCTGCCTCGTGATGCTCCGGGGGAGGCAGGTTTCAGTTTCCACTGAGAGCGGCCCCAGGTGCAAGAGGGTGAAGAAACTATGCAGAAAAGGGTGGAGGCTGTGGAGGGCTTGGTCGATGACACAGCTGGGGTTCTAGGGGATGCAGTGGAAGGGTGGGGGGAGGTTAGCTTAAGTCAAATCAGGGGAGGAAGAGCCACGAGGGGGAGAGAATGTGGTGATGGTGGATGACCTGGAGGTTCGCCTCCAAGGAGACTAAGGTGGAAAGGGTCCTGCCGCATGGGGCAACTATGCAGATGGTCTTTTAGGGAAAGTGGGGAATCAATTCTAGTTTTAGCTTCCTTTTTAGGATGGGCTGCTTCAGAAGCTTATAGGGAGGGAGGACTGCCGTTAAATCCTCTGAAGGTGGGTCATGGTGGTGGGGAAAGTGGTCTAAGGAGACCCTCAGGGCTCTGGAGTTCTCTCTTAAGCAGACTGATTGCTCAGGTGTGTCCAGCTCTGGAGGCTATTGCGTGTCCAGTGTGGTGCTGGCTCCTATGTGTACAGACACTGTCTTGTGGGTAAGTGATGTTTCCGCAAATGTAGCTTGGATCCCGAAATGTTGGGATTCTCAGGATATTTTTAATAGTTTAAAAAAGGACGAAAAGCAGACTATTTGAAATTGGGTCTATCCAGGAAAATCTGTGGCATAGGGTTGCTGTAATTATGAGAAATATAAAAGAAACGGAGAGACAATCTTTGCCCCCAAAGAGGTTGTTTCTAGTTGGTCGCATAAGACATATGTGAAAAGGAAAAAAACAGTTCTGAGATGATGCGAAAGTAAGTACAACAAGCATGTGCCTAATAAAAGGAAGAACTAAAATGGGACTGTTGGATTTCAACAGCTCCTAGGGGACAAAAGAATGGAAAAGAAGAAACTAATGTTTGTTGTATGACTACTGTGTTCCAGGTATTGATATTTTGCTTTCAAATAAGTTACAACATTTAGTTTTCACAGAAACCCTATGAATAGTTGTTATTCTAATTTAAAAATGGGGAAACTGAGGCTCAGAGAGGTTAAGTAATTTGCCCAAAGTCCCAGGGCTGGCAACCTGTTTGTCTGACAAACCCATTCTGTTTCAGTATAAATAGTACTCCAGGAGCTTCACTTACCAGGATGACCCTGAACTTCCAGAGAGCAATGATTCTCAACCTGATCCATTGAAGAGACTGGTTCCTGCTCTGATGGAAACACAAAGCCCATTAAAACAAAACAAAACAAAACAAAAACGGGTCATTTATCTGTTTACATGCTATTGTTAAATCATTTATAGTAAATTTTAAGAATATAAAATTGCGCTCGTCTTGTGAGGAAGAAATTGTATTTCTATGAGGAAGCGAAATCGTTGCTTTAATAGTTGGAAATGATATAATTTTCTTGAGTATAAATTTTAATGCTATGGAAACTATAAGCCAAATTTATAATGCAGTGTTGTTACTCTTAGGAAAGATTGTCAAGAGAGGACACGTCACCCTTGGAGGGAGAGCCAACTGGTAATGAAAAGGCTGTGACCCAGCCAGATCACTCTTGGGTCCCCCTAGGGGCAGGACTGTGATCTTCTGACCTCTAGAAGCTTAAGGAACCCAAGATGGAGTGTCTATCCTTATTTAAACTATAACTTTATTTAGTCTCACTTTGTTTAGCACACCAAGGGCCTGAGTTAATGCTTCTCTGATAGATGAGAGATCAGTTTCAGGAAGTGGTGAATGCAAAGTGTGAAAATGGAAACAGGAAGTGTAAGTGATTTCAAGAAGTTTAGCTTCAAAGGGGAGGAGAGAGCAGGGTAGGTCACTAAAGAGGAATCAGGGAGTTAAGGTATATTTTGTGTTTGCTGTTGAATGATGTGACAGTTGATCGTGTTTAGATACGAGAAAAGGGAAAAGAGGAAGAGGTTGAAGACACTGGGGAGATGGGGAGAGGTGGGAAAATTGATGGACTGAGGTCTTGAAGGTTTGGATCCTCCAGAACATAGGTAGAGGATTAACTTTACATAGGAGGGGACACCTCTTTTCACACGGAAACGAAGGAGGGACAAGGCAAGGTCAGCAGAGACAAAGCAGTCATGGACCTGAGTGGAGGTTCTTCCCCGCTGTGGTGAGATCAGGAAGGGCAGTGCCAGGAAGACAGTGAGGCACAATCCTGTTTTGAAGGAATGAGAGGGGAGTGACAGCCACAAGGGTGGAGGGAAAGATGGCCACAGGAACAGGGTGGCCCTGGAGGGGTTTGGACAGGAGACTGTCAGCCCCACTAAAGGGGCTTGGTGGTTTGAGGGGAGGGCTAGGACACAGTTTAAGCAGCTGGTTAAGGGAATGCTTGGTGCAGGGTTGGAGGATGTAGGGGGTTTCTTTATACTGGACTGGATTATCTTATTATAACTCTCCTAGTTGCAGGGGACTGAAAAGAAGATTCACAAGATTCAGCAGATTCAAAAGAAAAGCTTTGGGGAACTGGGATGCTCTGTGGACCTTGGGAGCTAGAACCAGGTACCTGACCTCATCAGGACTCTCTCTCAATGTATCTTTTTTCTGTCTTTTGTTTCAGGTTGGCTTCATTTTTCCCTATAGTCAATGGACTTTATTTACATGGCAGAGAACATTGTCACTTGCAAGTTTTATCAGAACAATCCCAAAGGAAGACCTAGACAAAGCTGGCTTGGTTGTATGATCATTTCTGGGTCACGCGGCCTATCTTGGTCACATGCATTTCCCATGGGTAGAGTAAGTGAGTCTATTATTAGAAGGTGCAGAGGAAGGGGTGTTGGGCAAATAAGAATGTGAACCAACATAGGTGTCCCAGGGAACATGGTGAGAAGGTTCTAAAGGTAGAGGAACAGCAGGAGGTGGTTGGGTCAGGGGAGAAAAATCCAACAGTAGTATGACCATGAGTGAATGAGAAGACTAGATGGATGGGATAGAATAGATGGCTTGTATTTCAGGCAACAGCCAAGGACTCTGAAGATGTGTAGTAGGATGGATTTCTGAACTAAACTCAGCAGACACAGATAGAGGAGTGGTCCTACTTTGAATCTGTTTCGCCTGCAAGAGGGTCTTAGTTCTCATGAACAGACAGGAAAATGGCGATAGGTAGGTGGTTCCTGGGGAGATGGGTACACGAGGACACAGCAGCAGCAGGTTGGGGGTATGCTTCGCAAAGTAACTGGAGACTCACCTCTGCCAGGGAGGTCACCCAGTAGATCACTTTCACCTGAGGAGAATGAAATGATGAGAGCATCGTTCTGTGCAAAATGCTTTGCTCAACTGCTTCTAAAATTAGAAGGTCTTATACCTCAGGGAATTTGTGACTGGTGGAGCTGACATGATGTCTTGTAGCCATCAGAAAAATGGTGTATGGCTCGGTGCCTAGTAGAACCAAGGTCTTGGGGTGGTGGCCAGGGATTCTTTGGAGCTGTTTCCTTGTTTGCATCCGCCCTTGTGCTCAAAGACAAAGCTTACAGCACGAGTGAAAACAGTTAAAATGTGTACAGTTCTTTGCGGTCCCCCAAACACCGTTGATATATACATTATTAATTTTAATCTCATATCAACCAGGAACATAATGTTTTCCCTACTTCAAATAAGGAAGCAGAGTCTCAGTAAAATAACTTGTTTAAGATTTTACAATTATTAAATGTTAACTCCCAAGATGAAGAATGTGAATTTTTAAAAGTTATGGTAAGATTTTACTAAAAAGTAAATATGGTGCTTTATGGAGCTTAATTGGTGTTAAGTCCAAGTGAAATAATCATAAGGGAATATGTGAATGTGTTCTGTTAACAACAACAACAAAATAATAGCAACTAATATTTATTGGGTGCCAAGCACTGTGATAAACACAAAGAACATTTAATACAACAACTCATTGAGTTAGGTACCATTATCATTCTTTTTCTGTAGATGAGGAATTGATCGGACAAATAATATTACTAAAGCATCACCACCACCACCATGATGAATGGAAACAGGAATAGGCCACATACTGGGAAATCAATTAGTAGTTTATTTTAACTCAGGAAATGAGCACTAGGCCAGGGAAGAAAAGAGAAAGGGATAAATCCCTGAGACTATGTGAGAGAAACGATAGGTTTCGTTCCTGTGAAGCAAGCCCCTTTCATTTCCTAGGCAGTTTATCACTCCTGGGCATCTCTCATACCCACCAGCATTTTCTTTGGTCTTCAGATCGCATCTACATCCTCAAACTATATTATAAATATTGCCCTGCTAAATGGTGTGGGGCTTGAAAGAAGTAGGAGTGACCAAGGACAGATTCAGCTGGGCACATGGGGGGAATGGTGATGCTACTTATCCAAATGGTGAGTTGGGAAGGAGAGGTAATCAGGAATATGGGATTGTGGAGTAAGCAGAAGAGTTCACTTTTAGATATACTGAGTTTCTTCACATTGACGTCTGGACTTTGGGAGATAGCTACATGAAGAGTCCCTGCAGACAGCAAAAGATTCAAGCTCAAGTATACATTTGGTGATGATGGTTAACACGACTAAAATGGATTAGCTCTTTGAGGTGGTGAATTAGAAGAAAGAAGAGCAACGAATTTAGTCTTGGGGGTGCCTGTAGCAAAGGGACTATAAAGGCGATCAGGATCTTAATTTTATATATATAGCATTTAATAACAGTGGTTTTCAGAGCACTTTTCTAACAGTAATTTCCCACGAATCCTCCATAAACTCTGGATGATGAAACTTTTAAAAGCTCACAACATTCTTTCACTCTTTAATCCTAATAACGAATTTATTTTAGGCTTAAATGCTATTGCAAGGAATGTGCTGGTCCAAAGGACAGTATTATTAGAAATTATTTCCTCTGAAGTTGAAATTCTTTAAAAACATACTAAATAAGACAAGTAATAAAATGGGGGAAGAAAAGGACAATGATTATATTAAAAGTTGGATTCCAAGAAAAATTGCTATAAGACTAGCTTCCAGGAAGTCAAGGCAAAATGTGAACATGTTGAATTAACTAGATGTTTGTCCCATGCAGAGTGTATGAAACATGGTTAATTATCAGCTTCACATGGAACCTCCCTAACCTGGAGATTCTGGTGAGTGTGTCTGGCTTGGGATCTGGGAAGCTGTGCATGTTTTCAAAGTTCCCCAGGTGATTCTAATAGTCCAATTTGACAAGCCCTAGTCTCATAAAGGAAATAGACCAGTTCATATAGGAGAGAAAAACTTTTTTCTAGTTCTGAAATCTGAAAGAGATTTCGTTCCATGAACACTGAAGAACACTGAATAATAAAATACACAATGCCCTCAATAGCATTAAAAAAAAAACAAACGGGTAGAAATTTTTTATGTGTGGATCTCACACTGACCTTTGATAAAATAAAAACCAACAACATAATACTAAATTATAATTCTGTTCGTGTGAATAAAGAACTATCTGGGTCAGTGGGAAAAATGATATTCCTTGGTCCTTTTCAGGAATTCTGATTCAGCACATCTGGTTAGGGACCAGAAATTTGCTTATTTGTAATAAGTACCCCACTTGATAGTGATGGAAGTGGCTCAAGGCCATAGTTTTGCACCAAGAGAATGGATGGTTAACAATATTCCTTAGAGTTTCAGGTTTAGATATAAAATCTTGAGATACACCATTTGTGGTCAGCATGTTCACCATTTTTGAAAACTGAAGCAGGGGAAAGAAGCAGGATTAATCTACTTCCACAAAGTAGGCTGGGAACACTTCTGTGGTATAAAACCAGAGAGCTTCTTTCAGTGAAAAATTTTCTTCAACCCTTGGGAAAATGTTAAAAGCATGGGCTGCATCATATGCCATTAGAATAGATGTTGGTCTCACTAAAAGGAAGAAATGGGTAATAGAATTGACATTCTGTTATCACAGGCGATGATTTAGCATTCTCGACCTCCCATTTCCTTTCCTCCATTATCCTGTAATGCAATTTTTAATCAGTGTTTACGTTATTGCCTATGTAAAATTGAAGAGTCAGATAGTATTTCATACTTATTTCTTTCCTAGCATCATTCTTATTTTTTGGAATCAATGATTGCCTCACTTCCCCCCTCCGCCACCAGTATAGTTTTCTATTAACTGATTGTCGTTTCAGTTGCTCAACTAGAGTTGTTGTCTGACTACCAGCAGTTTTTTTTCCCCAAAGCCTCAACCATCCCAGATAATGTTTCATTTCCTCCACCCTGGAGATCGCTCTCTGAAGCCTCCGCTTCCTCTTACTCCAATATGGAGCAGGCTTTGGAGACCCCTTTGTCTTAGAACTCACTTTTTTTGTTTTTGGCCATGCTGTGCAGCTTGTGGGATCTTATTTCCCCAACCAGGGATTGAACCTGGGCCCTTGGCAGTGAAAGTGTGAAGTCCTCACCACTGGACCACCAGGGAATTCCCTTAGAACTCACTCTTGACAATTTTCTGTATTGGATTTGCTGTTGCACCTGTGGGCCTTCCTTTTTCTTGTTTCTCTGGAGTGCATTATCCAGCAGTTCCCTAAAGAGAGGTGCATGGCAGATACACTTTTTGAGTCCTTACCTGGACACATGACTGATAATTCGGTTGGTTGTAAACTCCTAGGACACAAATAATTTTTCCCTCAGACAGTTGAAGACATTATGTCCTAAAACCCCTTGTTACATTTAAAAAGCCAGTGCCATTTTCTTTCTTTCTTTTTTTTTTTTTTTGCGGTACACGGGCCTCTCACTGCTGTGGCCTCTCCCATTGCGGAGCACAGGTTCTGGATGTGCAGGCTCAGCGGCCATGGCTCACGGGTCAGTGCCATTTTGAGTCATGTTTCCTTCTAAGTGATTCTAACCACCAATCCTACCACCACACCCATAGCCTGAAAGCTTCTAAGGGCTTCTCTTTATTTCTGATATTCTGAAATTTTGAAATGGTATGACTTGGTATGGATTGTTTTATCTTTTTTTACACTGTTGAGCACTAAGTAGACCCTTTCAATGGAAAGACTCATGTCCTTCAGTTCTGGGAAATCTTCGTGTATTTCTTCTTTGATAATTTCTGCCTATTTTCAGTTATTTTCTTTCTGGACCCCTATTTGATTTTGTACCTCCTGGTTTCCTTTTAAAGTCTTCTGTCTTTTTTCTTCTCTTTTCCATCTTTGTTGTTGTTTTCTTCTCAACTTTGTTTTCCAACCGTTCTATTTATTTTGGTTATATATTTTTATTTTCCAAGACTTTTTCACAGTTACTTTTCATAGTAATCTTTCTTATTTTATAAATTATAATACTTTCCCTTATCTCTCTAAAGATACTAATAATTAAAAAAAATTTTCTCTACATTGACTTTTTTCTTTACTTTTGCTTGTTTTGCTCCATCATTTCTGATGTTTGATTTCTGTTTATACTAAGAGATACTGATTGGAAACTGTATATGTGGGTGAGTGTATGAGAAGATTTGTCAAATTGTAGGGAGATATGGCCATTGTGTTGGAGAACCCACATATAACTGTATGTGCAGGTTTTTTCTTTTTTTTCCCCCCAACCTGGGAGGATTTGATGAGGGGTTTTATAACAATGGTTCAAAGTGAGGTCTCTGACGAGATTAGGGTCTTGTGAGCAGGGCTTGTGCAGGTTTTTTCTCTAGATCATTCTCTCTCTTGAGATGAAATTTCCAATCTTCTACCTGGCATTCATCTATTTGGAAGCTGCTGTTCTGGGGACAGGTGAGGAAAGGGGAATGGAGGTCTACTGTTCTGACTTTTGCTTAACTTTTTTCTACCTTTCACCTCCAAGAATAAACTTCAGTCTCTTTTTTTGAGGTGGTGGTTGGCTGGCTGTGTAGCACTGGGGTCTGTTGCACATAATAAGCTTTCACTATGGGGACTTACCTGGTGGTTAAGACACTGTGCTTCCAATGCAGGAGGTGTGAGTTCAATCCCTGGTCAGGGAACTAAGATCCCACATGCTACGTGTGAAGCCAAAAAAAAAAAAAAAAAAAAAAAGCTTTCACCAATCCCAGTTTTTAAAAAAAAGTGTTTATTTATTTATTTATTTATTTACTTATGGCTGTGTTGGGTCTTCGATACTGTGTGCGGGCTTTCTCTAGTTGAGGCGAGCGGGGGCTACTCTTCGTTGTGATGCTCACGCTTCTCATTGAAGTGGCTTCTCTTGTTGCGTAGCACGGGCTCTGGGCGCGCGGGCTTCAGTAGTTGTGGTGCACGGGCTTAGTTGCCCCGCGGCAGGTGGGATCCTCCCGGACCAGGGCTCGAACCTGTGTCCCCTGCATTGGCAGGCGGATTTTTTTTAAATTTATTTTTTTATACAGCAGGTTCTTTTTAGTCATCCATTTTGTACACATCAGTGTATACATGTCAATCCCAATCTCCCAATTCATCCCACCACCACCCCCAGCAGGCAGATTCTTAACCACTGTGCCACCAGGGAAGTCCCCAATCCCAGTTTTAGAGCAGAGCAGTACCCACCTCTGCAGCATCTGGTGCCTCCAACTCCTCATCTTCTCAAGGGGTTGTTAGGGTGAAGTGGCCCTCTTCCCTCCTGCAGCAATTTTTTTTTTTTTTTTTTGTGGTACGCGGGCCTCTCACTGTTGTGGCCTCTCCCGTTGCGGAGCACAGGCTCCGGACGCGCAGGCCCAGCGGCCATGGCTCACGAGCTCAGCCGCTCCGCGGCATGTGGGATCTTCCCGGACTGGGGCAGGAACCCGTGTCCCCTGCATCAGCAGGCGGACTCTCAACCACTGCGCCACCAGGGAAGCCCCAATTTTCGGCTATAGTTTTATCACTTCCCTGACTCTATCTGCTGTCTTTCAAAATTTGATTAAAATCTCTGCAATCTCTTCTTGGACGGTCTTCTCAGGTTTATATCTTTTACTATTATTTTTTATCTTTACCCCTGTAAACTTAATATATATTATTTTGGGGGGGGGTCTTGGAAAGGAATGGCAATAAACATGTGATCCATCTGCCATAAATCAGTACCAAAAATTAATTTTCAAACAATAATGCTTAATATGCTTTTAAAAACTGCCTATAATGTTAATGGATTTTAATATGGATTTGCTGGGGATTCAGAATTTTAGCATTTTTGAGCAGTCTTTCAGGATAAAATTGGTCAGCAGCAGCCACTTTTTTGAGAATTTAATGTTATATAATTCAATAATGGATAAAATAAGCATAAATAGCACATAAGAGTCTTCATTTAACACTGTTGACTGTCCCTTTTTGGATGCCTCTCTTGGTTGCTGTCACGCCTCTCTCCCAGTGATTATCCTATCCTTGATCAAGCTTTCTTTTTTTTTTTTTTATTGCGGTACGCGGGCCTCTCACTGTTGTGGCCTCTCCCGTTGCGGAGCAACAGGCTCTGGACACGCAGGCTCAGCGGCCATGGCTCACGGGCGCACGGGCGCAGCATGTGGCTCCGCAGCATGTGGGATCTTCCCGGACCGGGGCACGAACCCGTGTCCCCTAGCATCGGCAGGCGGACTCTCAACCACTGCGCCACCAGGGAAGCCCTTGATCAAGCTTTCTTAATCGTCCTTGCCAACTCTCTTCCTTTGTACCCACCCCAAGGTTGTGTACATTTACCCATTGCTTTCATGGCAACCTCAGGGCCGTGACATCCTAATCTCTAACCCAGACCGCCTTCTTAAGCTTCTCAAGCTTCTCTGTAGATTGGGGTGCAGATCAACTTACCATTTTCCCAGTGGGCATGTACCTCCCCTCTGTTCTGGGAGACTAGCCCAGTAGATTCTATGAGACAGACTCAGGCTTTTTCTTTTGATTAAGACGTTTTATTATTTATATTTTGAATAAGCAATACATTCAAATAATTCAAAAGTCCAAAGATATAAAAGGGTAGATTGTGATGTTTCCGGTCCTATCCCCGGTTCCTCAGCTACCCATAAGTTCTCCTCTTGGGAGGTAACCAATGTTACTGTTTTTTTAAATTTTGGGGGTGTTTTTCCAGAGATATTGCCTGCATACACAAGTAAATACACTTATATAGGCCCCTCCTCCATTCTCCGCTTTAATTCCAAACGTTTCAAAAGGCCCAGCATCAGTGCGGCTGGAACTAAGACTTTCACAGTCAATATTTCAAACATGGAACTTTTTTCCCCAACAAAACCAAGTATCCTTTTAAGCCCCCCCCCCCCAGAATGGAAAAGGGGGAAAAGACTGATGAGTTTTCCTGCTCCAACAATGCCTGGAAATTGGTAGCAAGATTTAAGCTGGTGCACTGCACTGGTGAGCAAGGGAGACTGGCAAGGGAGAGGGTGCAGAAGTTCAGCATTGGCAGAGTTAAGATACACCCGCACTTAAATCTTTTCTCATTTTCTCTAGGATTCCAGCCTCCCTGCTACTAGTCAACTTTACTTTTTCTTTTTTTAAAAATTTTTTGATTTTATATTGGAGTATAGTTGATTTATAATGTGTTAGTTTCAGGTGTACAGCAGAGTGATTCAGTTATACATATACATATATCTATTCTTTTTCAGATTCTTTTCCCATATACGTTATTAATTTTACTTTTTCTTGAAGTGACAACCTGGACATATGAAAATACTCGCAAATAACTTAAAAATACTCAGAAAGTCTCCCAGAAACACACAGAGAAGATTCAGGTTTCACAGAGTTGGCCGGGGCATCCAGTGAGCTACCGCAGAGAGCTCTATTTATCATCTATTTCACACACACTGGAAAGAAGGGAAAGCTATTTATGAAGGAATCAGTACTGGTCCCAAACCCTTCTCTGAGCCTCTTCTCCATCTGAGAAGAGATCTCACCCACTGTGGCCACAGGGGCGGGCATGTGACCAAAGCTGGGCCAAATACAGAATCTCATGTTTCCCTGACCACAGACACTGGTCCAAGGTATGGGTAATGAGCCAGTACAAGTCATCGAGTCCTTCCCCTAGGATTTTCCAAACTGAAGCTGGAAGAACTAGCTTTCCCTGCTGGTTATGAGCCCACAGCTGCCCGTAACCTTCACCATGTGAAGGAGCCAGTCTGCTGTGGAGGCTCTGACCACCCCCCACCACCAAAAAAAAAAAGATGTTTGGGGTTGTACTGATGGGATCCAAATCTTCATTCTTATTCACAAACCTGGCTTCACCTTCAACCTTCTCAGGTTGGTTAGCTGTGCCAACCAACTTTCCTTTTGCTTACACTAACCTGCAACAAAATATAGCCTATTTAGCCCCAGCTCTGTATATCTAAGTGCTTACCAGGTATCTCTCTTTGGATGTTCCCTGGTACTTCAGACTCACATCTACAGTACAATGCATCGTCCCTCCCTTACCCACTCTATGTACCCCATTTCCTGTATTCCCTAATCCTGGTTATCAATTCAGCAACTACCCAGATGCCCAAGCCAGAAATCTATAGCTCTACTGGGCTTCTTCCTTTCCACCTGATCCCATCCCTCAAGACCTAATAGGTCCCTAAGTTCTATTCCTCTTCTTAAATATTTCTCATATCTGTTACTCTGTCTTCTACTACCTTTGAGACTCCTTTGGCTCCTTTGTTCCCTCCCCTACCGTGCTGAAAAGGCCATCTCAGAATACTTACCCTGTGTACTGCCTCTGTCGAATGGGGTACCCTTCGGATAAAATTTCCTGGGACTCTTATGGTCCCAGATGATTGGTCTAGAGCAGTTACCATAAGGGCTGGTCACTAACATATAGGACAGGATGGCGGGAGAGCTCTCCAAAAGGGATATAGAAGATTAATTACACCAGTCAGATCCTCTTGTATGAGGAGATCTGAACCTGAGACACCTAGAGAGCTACTCAGTGGTTGCAAAACAGAAGCTGAAGGATTACGGGGAGAGGGCAGAGGTGATGATAAGGAGAATGAAAAAACTTTTGAGTAAATAGAAGATGAGTAAGTGGAAGCTATGAGTAATCTACAACCTCTGGGTGTATTGAATGGGGGTAAAGTAATTGGCTGGAGTGATAGAAACAAAAAGGGGAGCAAAATTACCATCATGGTCGGGGACAAACTCGCTGTTGAGGAGACAACAGAATAATACTAGTCCTGTCCCGGACCACCACCTGCTTTCCAGTTGCTAAATCGTGTATATCCATCCCGTGTGGCTGGACGACAGCACACTGGTTCCTGTGAGTTTGTGTTCCCATGAGATGCTTCTTATCCTTATGACCTCAACCCACAAATACTATACAGTGTAGTTTAGTCACATTAATTAGTTCCCCAACCACGTGATGCTTTGCCACCTGTTTATGTGCATACACTATTTCTTCCAACTAGAACAATCTTCTCATCTCCCAGATACCCCTAACTTAGTCACCTGGCTGCCACTGACTCATCTTTCACGACTGGGTGTAGGCTCCTCCTCTAAGCAGCTTTCTGTAACCCAACCAGGTTACACACTCTTCCTTTACTCCAAACAAACTTACTGCTACTGCATATCGTAACTGTGTGTCTCCACAACCAGATGAGCTTATTTTGAGAGCAGAGATGCAACTTTGTTCCCCTTTGCAGCCCCAGCGTCTGGCCCAGCACCCACACAAGGCAGATACTTAGTGGATGCCATTGTTTTTGATAAAGCTCAGTTGCCTAGACTCATTCAAGAACCAAGTTTCATAACCTTCCCTCATCACCCCTCTTTCAACAGATCCACTTGCAGCTTAAAGTGTGCCATGGTACCTTAGAAAGACAGTGATTCCACAGCTTTGTGTATGCGATTCCCCCAGTTCAGAATGCCCTTCTCATCCCTGTGCCCTAATTCGTTGTGGTTTTAATTTGCATTTCCCTCATGATTAGAGATGGTGAACATCTTTTCATGTGCTTATTGGCCATTTGCATATCTTCTTGGGACAAATGTCTTATCAAGTCCTTTGCCCATTTTTGAACTGGGTTGTTTGTTTTTTGTTGTTGAGTTCACAGTCATTTTGTAATATGGATTGGTTTCAGGAACACAACAGGTCTCCAGAGTTTAGAATGGTATGAAAATCCTAGGGGCCTTTGGAAAAGGGGCAGGAAGAGTAAGGATGTTAAAGAAAGTTTTTAAAGAATTTTAATAAAGTCTTTAGAAAAGAAAGTATACTTTCAGGATTCTGAGCTCATTTTTGTAGTCATTTGGCAACCTTATGGGTTAAATAAGCATTGGTGGGCTACCTTAGAACCTACTATTTTTTTTTAAAGACATCTCATTATATATTTTTATTTTAAATTTATTTTATTTATTTACTTTTGGCTGTGTTGGGTCTTCATTGCTGCGCGCGGGCTTTCTCTAGTTGCAGCGAGCGGGGGCTACTCTTCACTGCAGTGCGCGGGCTTCTCATTGCGGTGGCTTCTCTCGCTGTGGAGCATGGGCTCTAGGTATGCGGGCTTCAGTAGTTGCGGCACGCGGGCTCAGTAGTTGTGGTTCATGGGCTCTAGAGCACGGGCTCAGTAGTTGTGGCACATGGGCTTAGTTGCTCCACAGCATGTGCGATCTTCCCGGACCAGGGATCGAACCTGTGTCCCCTGCATTGGCAGGCGGATTCTCAACCACTGTGCCACCAGGGAAGTCCCCCTAACTACTATTTATTTTAAATAGATATGCTTGTTGCTTATCTATTTTTTAAAAAATTATTTATTTTTGGCTGCACTGGGTCTTCGTTGCTGTGCGCGGGTTTTCTCTAGTTGTGGCGAGCGGGGACTGCTCTTCGTTGTAGTGCGTGGTTTTCTCATCGTGGTGGCTTCTCTTGTTGCAGAGCACGGGCTCTAGGCACGTGGGCTTCAGTAGTTGTGGCACACGGGCTCAGCAGTTGTGGCTCATGGGGTCTAAGAGTGCAGGCTCAGTAGTCATGGCGCATGGGCTTAGTTGCTCCGCGGCACGTAGGATCTTCCTGGACCAGAGCTCGAACTCATGTCTCCTGTACTGGCAGGTGGACTCAACCACTGCGCCACCAGGGAAGTCCCCTAACCACTATTTATAAACACTTCTTATAAAAAATTCTGTCTTATGATATTCTAATTTTAAAAACTTTGGTATATAATTCATATATATGTTGATGACTATATATGAAAACCTAAATTTGGAAAGTAAGTTGGTTGTACTAATGGATTACAGAAATAATTATTTATATACAATGACTTTAATTGGGAATTTAATATTTTTCTATTACCAGAAGTTGATTTACATGAATCACTTGTAGGATGCCACTATGAGAAAGTATACATGCTACAAAGGTATAGAACTGATAATATAAACATGATATAATTGATAGAAACATGAAAACAAGCCTGTAATCTACAGATATAGACAAAGGTTGCAGAAAAGGAAGGATTACACTGAAATCTGTGCTGTTAATTGAAGCAGCTAGAAAAAACAGTATTACTGACCACTGGTAATAGATAAATAACCTCTAAGAATAATATCCAGTTTAAATGACATAAATTATTTTAAAAGAAACTTATTTTATGTACTGAAAATGGATAAACTGTTGGATTTTGAATTTTTGGTAAAATGTTATAAGACCTAGGGGAGACAAATAGCTAATATTATAGGTGTAAAATGTAAGTTACATACTTTAGAATAAGTATGATGTTAAAGTATATTTAGGATTATTTTCAATGTTCCACACGCTATATTCTCTGTAAATAATTAATAGTTAACAAAACATACCATTCTCTAAAAACAAAACAACAAACTCTTTCTTTAAGCTGAAACTAAAGATGAGCTTTCCATTTCTCCTCAGGATCCATATTGCTAACTGTGGAAAGAAAATTACAGAGTAAACATTTAACAAAAGATGAGCAAATCACTAGATTTTAAGTTAGCTTGTAACTAGAAAAACCATTAATTCCTAAAATAATTTTCTTGCTCAATATAAAGCTGGGGTTTTTCTTGGGGGGGTACATATAAAGATGTTGCTGAAGCTTCTACACAAAGTCCAACTTTGCACCTCTTGGTTTTTTTTTTTTGCGGTACACGGGCCTCTCACTGTTGTGGCCTCTCCCGTTGCGGAGCACAGACCGGGGCACGAACCCGTGTCCCCTGCATCGGCAGGCGGACTCTCAACCACTGCGCCACCAGGGAAGCCCACCTCTTGCTTTTTAAGGATCAAACTTCTAAGATTATTAACTTGACAAATTAACTTAACACTAGGGAACAATTATAGAATTACTGCTTTAATATCTTTGAGTTTGCTACCTTTACTGCTGCTAGACCTTTGGATGTTCCCAAATCTTCTAATCGATACATGTAAAATCCTTCGTGGTCGGGTGGTCTGGGAGAGGAGAAGCTCTCTTCCTGCTACATGCCTGTGACTGTCATTCTGGTGGGTGAGGACTGAAACCCCCATGAGAGATTCTCATTCCTGTGGAAGCTTTTGTTCTAACTTGTGATCCCCTGGCCTTTTGCTCCTGACCCTTCCTAGTGACTGTCTCTCCAACTTACAGTGACATTCAATGGAGAACTCTGGTGGGTGGTGTTTTTCCTCAAAGGAAACTAGTTCATTTGTTAACAAATATTTTAAGTGCTGGTAAGAAAAGAACTAAAATTTGGAAGAATACTTACATATCTTTCCTTCCTTTTCTAATTTTTTCAAATGAAGTAAGAGGTTATGTTCGGCCATTTTATGTAAATGCTCAGGAGTATCCTAAAAGAAAAATGAGAGTGAAAGTAAAGCATTTCTTTTTAAAAAAAGAACAGAGTTAATCTTTTTGAAACTTTTAAAGAAAAAAGGCAAAATAATACAGTCTTAATTCAAATACAGTTTTATAGAGTAATAATCAACACTGTTTCATCTTATATATGTCTTGCTTTGAGTCACCTTATTATTAGAAATATACTTATAGGCAAACAGACTGTAAGCGCCATAAAGACAGTACAGTAGCAGCATCTGTTCACTACTGAATACCCAGTGCTTAGCAAAATGGCACATAGTGGGAACTCAATATTTTATAAATGAATGAATAAATAAACACAAAAATTATTCTAGGTAGTTTTGATGATTCTACAGACAGTTGGCCCTATGGTCTATTTATTAGGTTACATGATAATGTCTTTGCACATTTTTATTAAAAGTATGTATGTTTCCACCTTAAAACTTACAATTTTTCCTTTATTTTTGCCAAGCTACTAATGTAATACTGACAACTATTATCTGAATGGTAAACAAAATAAATATTCCTTTTATTCTTTTTTCTAAATATATATTTTTAATTTTATTGGAGTATACCTGATATACAATATTAATGTTAAGTACAATATGGTGCTTCACAATTCTTAAAGGTTATATTCCATTTAGTTATTATAAAATATTGGCTTTATTCCCTGTGCTGTACAATATATTTATCTTCGTAGCTTATTTTATACATAACAGTTTATACTCCCCTAACCTTTTATTGCCCCTCCCCCTTCCCTCTCCCCACCGGTAACCACTAATTTGTTCTCTATAGCTGTGAGTCTGTTTCTTTTTTTGTTATATTCACTAGTTTGTTGTATTTTTTAGGTTCCACATTACAAGTGGTAACATACAGTATCTGTGTCCTTATATTCTTTTTTTTTTTTTTTTTGCGATACGCGGGCCTCTCACTGTTGTGGCCTCTCCCTGTTGTGGCCTCTCCCGTTGCGGAGCACAGGCTCCGGATGCGCAGGCTCAGCGGCCATGGCTCACGGGCCCAGCCGCTCCGCGGCATGTGGGATCTTCCCGGACCGGGGCACGAACCCGTGTCCCCTGCATCGGCAGGCGGACTCTCAACCACTGTGCCACCAGGGAAGCCCCCTTATATTCTTTAAGTAAGAATTTTCCTGAAGTCAAGCTTCTTGACTAAATTTACTATCTCCATTTCTCAGCTCCCTGAAAATGTTTTGCAAAGATCACTGAATTATATTTTAATCAAAATTCAAAGAATTATTTTCAGTCCTCATTTTACCTGAAATCAACTGGCTAGTCTGTCCGTTTGGAAGAACTCATCTCTTTTCCCTTGGTTATTCTACCTCTTATGATTTCATCTTCATCCTGGATATTCTTTCCCGATTTCTCTTCAATACTGATGTTCATGATGAATTGTATCATTGACTCTCTTCTCTTTTTACTTGATCAACTTGTCACCGCAACATCATGTGTTAATGATTCCCAAGCAGAAACCTCCAACCCCAAACTCCCTGAAGCTCCAGTACCATATATTATATCCACCAGTGTGATTTCCTAGGTCTAATTATGTGACTCCCTGCCTAAGATCCTTGGGTGGTCATTCCCAGCTTATTGGCTGAAGCCCAAATTTTTTTTAGCATGGCAACCAAGGGCTTCCCCTGACCTGCCATGCCTGCCTTTCTTGCCTCATTTCCTGGGACCCCCTCCCTGCCCATCTACAATATACATTCTGGGCTCCAGTCAGATGCGTTTTCTTTGTGGGTTTTCAAACACACACGATGCTTTTGTGACTTCCAGTGTTTGAACACATCTTTCCTTCTGTCTAGAATGACTTCTCTTCTCCTGTACTCTGGCCTCACTCCTTCAAGATCCAATTCAATAATTAAGTTTCTGAAGCTTTTCTGGACAAGCCTCATCACCCTGCATCTTCACCAGGCAGAAATGACTCCTCTTTCCTTTATGCCCTGACGTACTGTGTATGGGCCTTGCAGGAAGCTTGGTGTGATAGAAAAACAAAAGATTTGAGTATCTGACTTCTGACATTTGAGTGTGTGACATCTGCTAGTTTTGTGCCCTTGGAAAAGTTACTTAACTCACACTTTTTGAGTCTGTTTTTAATCTGTTAAGTTGGAATAACAGTATCTTTATGCAGTGAAAATTCAAGGTACTTGAAATTAAGTACTTCAAATTACAATTGTAAATGTGAAGCATTTAGTACAGTGTCTAACACATAGTAATGTGCTCAAAAATGGGAGCTATTATGATACGGCCGGAATTACAAGAATCTGTTTAACATGTCTGTCTTTGCTAATCCATGAGTCCTTTGAGGGCAGGGATCTGTAGTCATCTTTGTGCCTCTGCACCTAGTCCAGTGTGTGGCACATGAAGGCATTCAGTAAACATCTGTGGAATGAATAAATGTCTCTGCAATACCTAATGCTGTTCTATATGTGACAGGTGCTTCACACATGTGTGCAGTGAACACATCTCTGAATGCAGAACAAGCATTTCTGAGGCCTGCATAGTCACTGGATGACCCATCTGTGAGGGTTATCAGAGAGTTCTGCTGTCTGTACTTGGGTTAGAAAAAACTACCCATGTTTCAGTGTATAGTCTAGAGTGGCTAAACTTTAGTATTATGAGGAAATGAACTCTTTTGCAGAATTTAAACATTTACATTGCCCTTTTGCTCCTGGCACTTATTATTGTCAGCCCTTTTAATCATTCATTCCTCCCTTTTAAAACAAAGCACACTGAGATACCTGGTTTTTGATAAATTAGGCCCATGGGACATTATGGTCCTTTACTAATTGAAACTGGCCCAGGTTCCTTTTCAAGCTCATCTTTAGTTATACTCTCAGGTATCTTATGGCCATACAGGTTATGGTAGTGGGAGTTTTAAAACCCAGATAATCTTATTCCATTCTTAACCCCGAAGCAGGTATCTAATAAACATTTGCTGAAAAACTGAATTATACTGATGGATTGCCACACAGTGCTGTCACGCAGTGATGTGCTCAGAGGCCACTGAGTGAGGGGCCCTTTCTCTCTACACTAAGTGACTCTACTCATGCTCTTCCTCATGGCCTTCCTCCTTTTAATCTATTGTTAGCATTGCTACTACTTCTCACTGCTGTTATCCCAGTAGCTGTCTCTAGCAGATCGCCCCTTACTTGCTGCCGGTCAGGACACCAGATCATCAAGATGGCTAGAATAATACACAAATCATAACAAAGATTAACCGCCAGGCTGTTGGCAATGGTCTCCCCTACAGAGTGGAGTATAAAAGGCTTAATAACGGCTCAGGATGGTTATTTTTGTTCTGCGGGCCAGTGTTTGTCTAACTTCTGTGTTCTAGAAAGTTGAGATTGATGGTCTCAAATCCATACGAGTGACATTACTTAAAAAGTTAACAAAAAAAAAAAAAAAATGTTAACAGACTCATTTTGCTCTGGGATGTGATGAGTTTACCACATCTATAGTCTGCTGAATAGATTATTCTATTAAAATTGTGGCTTTGAACAAATAAGATAAATGAAAATTACCTTGTAAATAACTTTTACAAGATCCATTGCTGTGAAGGACTTTTCAAAGTTCTCATGAAATAATGTAAGAATTTGCTGTTCTCGGATATTTCTGTGAGAAATGTATTGTAGAATTTTAGCTTCGGCATTATGGATTACTGGGCCATGTCCTGCATCAGAATAATTACAAAAATGATTTCAACCAGATAAAAAATTTTAAGTACAACTGAAGTTAATTTACTCTATTTAAAAATATTTCATATAGTATATTGAAAAGGCATACTAAATACACGACAAATAAGAATTATCTGGAAAACTATACAGGTAATAAGAGATCTAAAAATTACATATAATGCCAAAAACCATTAGAGAATTATATGAAAATCTACATAAGATATTATTGTGTTCATTAAAAGTTAGAAAATAAAAATTTAACAATAAAAACAGTAACCACAACAGTATCAATAGGTAATATTTACAGAGTGTTCATTATTTGCCAGACATTACTCTAAATGCTTAATATACATTATCCTTACAAGAATCCCATGAAGTAGGTACTGATACTTTAATTATCCTCTTTGTACAGCAGAAACTGAGGCATAGGGAGGGTGAATAATCTGCCTACAGTTACACAGCTAAGAAGGGGTGGAGCTGGGATTCTGATTCAGGAGCTTTTAACCACTCTGTGCTCTTAACCACTATGCTTATCAAAGATTGAAAAGGGGGTGTAAAAGGTAGCTTCATGTAAGTGACCAAGAGCTATTAAAAATTCACAAGAACCACAGGAGAACCGTAACAATCTTATGTATAGGCTAGCAATTCAGAAACCTTGATAACCCGGATAAAGTTATATTGGAATTTACTCACTCTTTAAGACAGTGAAAATGAATATATTACACAAGTCTGCAAGAGGGCTGAGAACAAAATACCAGAAGCAGACAAACCTGTTAGGTAAAGAGCATGGGCTTTAGGATACCGACTATCATTTACTAGCTGTGTGGCTGGGATAGTCTATGAATCTCCGAGTTTATTTCTTCAGCTACCTGCTTCTCTGGGTTTTTGTGAGGACCGCTCTGTGAAGGTCCCTGCACAGTACCTGGCGGGTAGGGTAGCAGGCTTTAATATATGGTAGCTATGGCTATAGACCGTCATTGACATATGAGGTCCTGCTGTGCCAATAAGCCATCACTGGATTTACTAAAGCCAACACTCCAAGAACCTGCACCGGGCAGGCTCTCATTAGCTTTGCTCCAATGTGGATGCATCAAATGTCTACTGTCTTCTCTTTCAAAATAGCTGTCATCCTCCACTCCTTTTATGTCACAATATTAATCCAAATGCCCAGCCTCACTGTATGTTTCCTATCCCCTCAGCAGTGGGAACTCATGAGAGAATATGAAGGTACTGAAGACACTGTATTTACAGATCTTTCCATGGCCCTTTGGTTAGGAACAAGTTGGAAGGACTTAAAAAATTAAGTAATCGAGTCTCTTTTTCCTTCTGGGGGCCTTTGTTGGGTACTGTATCTTTCTTAGCTTTCAGGATGGAGGAGAGATTCGTATTGTAAAGCAGGGCAGTGATAGCTAATATACTAACAACAGGTTTCTTTTTCTGGAGAAAGGAAATAAATACACAATTTTACAGTTGATATAGAAGCTATTGATATTTCCATATAGTGAGTTAAAAAACTAAAGCTCAGACATCAAATGTTACCCAAGGTTGGTTACATGGCTAAAATGTAGTCCACAACAGAAAGCAAGTTAACAAAACTGAAGATAGCTTACGGAATGAAAAAAAGTTTCTTGTTCCAGTAAGTTTATTTCATTTGTTTAATAGTTCTATTAATAGCTGTGCAGATGTTAAAAAATAACCCTCATATCTTTTAAAAAAGTTATTAATACAACTCTCGGTCTTTTAAATTGTATTGCTAGACAAGACTTAGGGGTGTAATTTAGAAAGAAGCAATTTATATGTATCTCTTCAAGGCTGAAACCACAAAGAACACACACAGACAAACCAAAATGAATCTTCCTCATCATTTGACACAAATGGTTTGCTAGATTAATAATATTACCCACCTGGATATATAACTTTAGCTTTGATTTTTAATAATTCTTTTAGGGAGCGCATATAATCATAGAGGTCTTCAAACACGGTTGTTCCTTCCCCTAGGATGCAATCTCCAGAAAAGAGAGCATTTTCCTCTTCTAAAAGTAGGGTCATATGATCATCAGTGTGGCCAGGTGTGTATATAACTCTGGTTGAAAGAAGAAAGAGGAAATAGTAACAGTTATGAACTCTTAGGCTTAGAAGAAATTTTGAGAAGTAAATTATTTTCTGTCTTTATCTCTGGACAAGACATGAATAAATGATGTCAGTAAGTTTTTAAAATAGCTCCTTTTTCTCTTGTGGCCCACTGCAAATTATCATCAGAAAATTCTCTCCTTTAGCTAAATCAAATTTCTCACTCTGAAGTGCAAATTTAATACTTTTGCCCAGGGATAAAACCTGGGCCCCCTACACTGGGAGCACACAGTCTTACCCACTGGACCACCATTCATCTGTCAATAGACACTGAGGTTGTTTCCATGTTTTGGCTATTATAAACAGTACTGTGATGAACATGGGGTACAGATATCCCTTCAACATAATGATTTCGTTTCCTTTGGATATGTACCCTGAAGTGGAGTTGCTGGATCATATGTTTTTAAGGATATATATTTTTGGATTCTTTGCATATTTGTATCTTAAAAACAAAACTGTCATGTTGCTTTAATACCTGATTTTTGAATTTTTTGCTTACTATACTGTATTTTCCTACATCATTAAATATTTTTCTAAAACATGATTTTTAATGCTTACATGGTATTTCACTATATGTGTGAATCACAATTCATTTAGTTTCCTATTGTGGGCAGTTTTCCTCCAACAGTAACACTGAATGAGCATCCTTAAAAATGGTGCTTTTGTTATTTTTTGATTTGGTCTCAGAGTTTTTTTTTTAACAGAATAGTTTTCCTATTTACATTGCCCTTCTCTCCTCCTTCCCCCATAATGAATATGTCTTACTCACTTCAGTCATTAACTTTCAAGATTTCTGGTTTTTTGACTTCCTTGCTGTCACTTTAGGTTATATGGACTGCATTTTCTTTCGTCTTTTTTTTTTTCCTAGTGATTTGTAAGCTACATACACTTAAGTAGATGTAAGAAAACTGGGCAAATTAACTTCTCTTAATGTCAGTTTTTCACTGAAATGTGAATAGCATGTGTCTTAAAGGACTGCTGGGAGATTCAGGATGAGCATTTAAGTGCTTAGCATAGTATCTGGCACAAAGTTACATGCTTAATAAATGGTAAATATTTTATTTTAGTAGTGGTAATCTAAAAGTTTAAAAGAAACATTATTTTTTCTTTCTTGTTAAAAATTTTAAGAACAAAGCAGGGGCTTCCCTGGGGGCACAGTGGTTAAGAATCTGCCTGCCAATGCATGGGACATGGGTTTGAGCCCTGGTCCGGGAAGATCCCACATGCCGCGGAGCAACTAAGCCCGTGCACCACAACTACTGAGCCTGTACTCTAGAGCCCGTGAGCCACAACTACTGAAGCCTGTGCGCCTAGAGCCCGTGCTCCGCAACAAGAGAAGCCACCGCAATGAGAAGCCCGCGCACCGCAATGAAGAGTAGCCACGGCACGCCACAACTAGAGAAAGCCTGCGCACAGCAATGAAGACCCAATGCAGCCAAAAATAAATAAATGAAATAAATTTATATATAAAAAAAGAACAAAGCAGTTTTCATTGATTTCACCCTATATAAGATAAAAAAATTAACATACTTTTATTTCCTCTGTCCTCTTCTCCAACTTTGTTTCTGTTGATAAATAAAACTATGATAATACTTTTAAAGCATGACAAATATTTTTATTTCAATAATTCCTATTTATATTTACATGAAGTTTTTTTTTTGTTTTTTTTCCTTCGCCCACGCCGTGCAGCATGTGGGATCTTAGTTCCCCAAGCAGGGATCAAACCTGTGCCGCTGCAGTGGAAGCCCAGAGTCTTAACAACTGGACCGCCAGGGAATTTCCTACATGAAGGTTTATGACTATACCAATAATAAGCCAGATAAAGAACTAAGTCTAGGGGGCTTCCCTGGTGGCGCAGTGGTTAAGAATCCGCCTGCCAATGCAGGGGACACGGGTTCAAGCCGTGGTCCGGGAAGATCCCACATGCCACGGAGCAACTAAGCCCATGTGCCACAACTACTGAGCCCGCGTGCCACAACTACTGAAGCCCTCGTGCCTAGAGGCCATACTCTGAAACAAGAGAAGCCACCGCAATGACAAGTCGACGCACCGCAACGAAGAGTAGCCCCTGCTCTCCGCAACTAGAGAAAGCCAGTGCGCAGCAACGAGGACCCAACACAGCCAAAAAACAAACAAACAAACAAACAAAACAAAACTAAGTCTAAGTAATTTGTTCTGCAGAGCTCTTGATTTCTCAGCCACATACAGACAACCCTCTGTACTGGTCATTTTTTTCTGTTATTACTCCTATACTTTGAATTTTACTTCTATTATGGCAGTTTTCACATTGTTTTCTTGTTTGTTTACCATTCTACCTCATAAGGCTATGAACTCCTAAAAGGCAGGACTCCTGTCGTATTCTCATCTTTATATTCCCGTGCTTAGTACTTAGTGGTAGCTAATATTAATATATTGCTTTCCACGTGCCAGGCATTGACTTCAGGGATTTACAGGCATTACACACTTAATCCTTCTCCTAGTATGGGGTGGGTAGCATTAATCTTTCCATTTCACATTCTTTTTACATTCTAGATAATCGAATCACAGGAGATAGCAATAAGTGTCTGATGGAATAAGGTTTAAATTATATTTTATTTAGCTTGAGAGGTTAATTATCCTTCTCTTTGCCTATTCTAAATAGTATTGGATTTTTATGTGCTTGGAATACTTTAAATAAATTTTCTCAATGATGGGTTTTTTGGGGGGAAGACAGGGCAAATATAATTGCATGTTTGGATTTACTATTAAGGAATTGAAAGTGTGTTTCTGGTTAAAGACTGGATTGAACACCTGCATCTTTTGTTTCCTCCTAAAACATCAATAAAATTACCATAAAGGGATATTTGAAAAATGGCATAAATCCACAGGGTTGAGGAGAATGGACCATATCAATAAAATTTTAGAAGCTAGAAAGAAGACAGATGAGTGAGAAGTGACTGATCAGACATGAAAATACTGAAGTCTACACTGGCAGTGGTGAAAGCTGAGACCCAACCAGATTTACACTGCAGAATTCTCCAGTCTCAGGACGTGGGGCACCAGGAAAGCAGAAGCAGAGGGTGAAGTGGAGAGCGGAGGCCCAAACAAGGATTTGCTGAGAGTGTATGTAACAAACATTCAGATCTTTAGATTCTCTTCCTGTTTTGAGCAGTTTGACAAGCACCCCAACCCCGCTAAGGGAAAAAACGGGAGATTTAATTTTTGAAGAGGGTAAAACACAGGCACAGATAGAGGTAGTGACATAATCCTGAAAACAGGAAGACTGGGTGAATATATGCATTTCCCCAAGCCTTCTTTCCACACTCAGCTCCTGTAAAGCTGGCAGCCAGGCCTTTATCCAACATGAAGCTTAGAAGAGTCTCTTCTGGGAATTTTACCAGCTCAGGAAGAAAGACTCTAAGATTCCAATGTTGGAGGTTCCCCAACTAAACAATTCATCCAGATGACCCTACAGTGAGGCTCACAACCTACAGGGCTCCCAATAGCTCTGAGGTCTCCCTTAGAAGACATCAGTAAACACCACATCACTATGCATCTGAAGAAAGCCTTTCACACTGAGGAGAGAAAATAAAAACAAACTAGTTTGTAGGCCACAAATTATGAAGAAGGAAATTTCCAAACCCTCCCACAAACCTCCCCTCGATAGCCCCCAGAAAAACTGCCCCACAAAAAACTGTAATGTCCTCAGAGAGATAAGAAGTTGCAACTATGGAACAAGAAAGGATAGTATGAAAGGAGCCTTTAGGGGCAAAAAGAGCTCCTGAAAGTTAAAAATGTGAGAAGAGGAATGAAAAAAAATAGGATTACGAGATAAAGCTGATAAAAACCTCCCAGAAAGTACAGCAAACAGGCAAAAAGATAGAAAATAGGAGAAAAAAAAAGTTAAAGGACGAGTCTAAGAGTTCTAACAGAATAATAGGGGTTTTAGTAAATGAAACAGAACAAAACTGGTGAGAAGATATCAACGAGCAACTGTATTTTTCTGCCCAACAAAGCCATACCATCAAAGGTAATTCTGTGTGCCTCTCTTCCTCAAGACCTTGAGAAGCCTACCTAATGATCCAAATGTATTTTCAAGTTTGGTTTTTATTTAAAAAAATTAAAAAAAAATTTTTTGGCTGTGCCATGCGGCATGTGGGATCCTAGTTCCCCGACCAGGGATTGAACCTGCATCCCCTGCACCGGCAGCGAAGAGTGTTAACCGCTGGACTGCCAGGGAAGTCCCTCAAATTTGGTTTTTAGATTCTGGAAGTCATAATGATAAGTAAACCTTTAACAAAGTAAGTTAGATTACATAACTTTTTAAAGCCTACTCTTGTATTAAAAAGAGAATCCATAAAAAGTACACAAAGAAGCTTAAATTATATGCACTAAGCTTAACTCACAGGACCATATTACTAGTAAGTGACAATAAAGGGTCACTAAAAAGATGTGTAATTATCATTAGCAACTAAAGGCTCAGTATTTTCATGGGTTAACTCTAACAAACATTTAAAAGTCAGATAATTTCACTACAATCTATCCCAGAGCATAGAAAAAGAAGGAAAATTTATGACTCCCAAACCTGATAAAGGCTGCACAAAAAAACTACCACCCAATCTCACTAATGAATATTGTTATAAAAATATTAACTAAAATATTAACAAATAGAATTCAAAAGCAAATTTAAAAATAACATCATGACCAAATAAAGTTTATTCAAAAAATGCATGGGTGTTTCAATATTATAAGATCCCTGAAAATAATAATAAAGCTATGGAGAAAGCTGGTAAGATCATCTTCCTAGACATTGCAAAGACATATGACAAAATTCAACTCTGAAATAATAGCATGTAAGAAAACTGAGGGCTTCCCTGGTGGTGCAGTGGTTAAGAATCCGCCTGCCAATGCAGGGGACACGGGTTTGAGCCCTGGTGCGGGAAGATCCCACATGCCTCAGATCAACTAAGCCCGTGCGCTACAACTAGTGAGCCCACGTGCCACAACTACTGAAGCCCAAGCGCCTAGAGCCTGTGCTCTGCAGCAAGAGAAGCCACCGCGATGAGGAGCCCACATACCACAACGAAGAGTAGCCCCCGCTCGCCGCAACTAGAGAAAAGCCTGTGCGCAGCAATGAAGACCCAACGCAGCCAAAAATAAAATAAATAAATCTATTAAAAAAATTGAAATGACTATAACTTAGAAGAGTTTCTCCTTTGCCAAAAAAAATCAAATTCTTTAATATTAAATATTGACATGTAAAGTCTTTAAAAAATCTGCTAAAAATGTAACAGATATAAGGTACAAAAACATGAGACACTAGTGTAATGGGAGCAATTATTTTTGAAAGGCATTAAGAACTGACGTTAAGAACTATTATGCTTTTGTGGTTTCTAAGTGTATGCTTTATATATTGCAAACAATTACGATTTTATAGTTGCTCCAAGGGCAAATATTAAAGAGATGTTAAAAATCATCTCTTGTCTGATTTAACCTGCTGCAACCTGTTAATGAAAGTATTTGATGTTATACGAAAATGATTCCAGGAAGTATATTTCCAGCAACTATAAAAATATGTGAACCAAAAAAAAAAAAAAAAAAATATGTGAAGACAATCTACAGAATGGGAAAAATTTTTGCAAACCATGTCTCTGATAAGGAGTTAAGATCCAAAATATATAAAGAACTCATACAACTCAATAGCAAAAAAACCCCCCAATTTAAAAAATGACCAAAGATCTGAACATTTTTCCGATGAAGATACATGAAAGACCAACAGGGACATGAAAAGATGCTCAAGATTACTAGCCACCAGGCAAATGCAAATTACTGGGTTGGGCAAAAAGTTCGTTAGTTTTCCCCATAAGATAGCACTTGTTGTCTTTAACTTCATTCAAAACAGTTTTGTTAGATTGTATTGTGATAGCTGTCATATCAGCATGCATTAAGAAAAAACTTATCAAAATTGAATTTTTGTGTAGCCATTTTAATATTGAAGATGGAAGAAAAAAAGCAACATTTTCGGCATATTACGCTTTACCATTTCAAGAAAGGTAAAAATGCAACTGAAATGCAAATAAAGATTTGTGCAGTGTATGGAGAAGGTGCCGTGACTGATCGAATGTGTCAAAAGTGGCTTGCGAAGTTTCGTGCTGGAGGTTTCTCACTGGACGATGCTCCACAGTCGGGTAGACCAGTTGAAGTTGATAGCGATCAAATAGAGACATTAATTGAGAACAATCAACATTATACCACGCGGAAGATAGCCGACATCCTCAAAATATCCAAATCAATCACTGAAAATCATTTGCACCAGCTTGGTTATGTTCATCGCTTTGATGTTTGGGTTCCACATACGTGAAGAGAAAAAAATTTCTTGACCGTATTTCTGCACACCATTCTCTACTGAAACGTAACGAAAACGTTCTGTTTTTAAAACAAATTGTGACGGGCAATGAAAAGCGGATACTGTACAATAATGTGGAATAGAAGAGATTGTGGGGCAAGTGAAATTAACCACCACCAATCACACCAAAGGCAGGTCTTCATCCAAAGAAGGTGATGTTGTGTATGTGGTGGGATTGGAAAGGAGTCCTCTGTTATGAGCTCCTTCTGGAAAACCAAACGATTAATTCCGACAAGTACTGCTCCCAATTAGACCAACTGAAAGCAGCACTTGATAAAAAGCATCCGGAATTATTCAAGAGAAAACGCATAATCTTCCATCAGGATAACACAAGACTGCATGTTTCTTTGATGACCAGGCAAAAACTGTTACAGATTGGCTGGGAAGTTCTGATTCATCTGCTGTATTCACCAGACATTGCACCTTCAGATTTCCATTTATTTCAGTCTTTATAAAATTCTCTTAATGGAAAAAATTTCAATTCCCTGGAAGACTATAAGTGGCACCTGGTACAGTTCTTTGCTCAAAAAAATAAAAAGTTTTGGGAAGATGGAATTATGAAGTTGCCTGAAAAGTGGCAGAAGGTAGTGGAACAAAATGGTGAATACGTTGTTCAATAAAGTTCTTGGTGAGGGGAGAAGGAACTGGAGGAAAGTAGTCAAAAGGTACAAATTTCCAATTATAGTGTAAGTACCAGGCTTATAATGTACAACATGATGACTATAATTAACACTGCTGTATGATATGTAAAAAAGTTAAGAGAATAAATCCTGAGTTCTCATCACAAGGAGAAAATTTTTCTTTTCTTCTTCTTTTTATTGTATCTATATGATATGACAGATATTAGCTGAATCATATTACATGTAAATCAAACCATCATGGAAAAAAATATGTAGGTGTGGGTATGTATCCTATCTTATAGCCAATCCTATGAACAATCATACATAGAATGCATTTATGGGCAGAACCCAATCTTTTTTTTTTTTTATAATCTACAAAAATTCATTGGGAGAACCATTCTTTTTCAGGGTCTGCAAATTGCCTTATCCGTCAATGTGCCTGCAACGCCTCCTTTATTATTCCCCTCCCACTCTCCATGCCAGAGCTCAGTTATGGCTTTCTTTGATATTTTCCAGGCTGAAGGCAATTAAGATTTCTTAAATCAGGGGATCAGAAATTCCAATTCTTCAGTCACCTGCGTGGCTAATGCTTTAACTTGCATAAAAACTGTGTTAAAATTCTCTTCACATAGGCAGGAGGGGAAAAGGAAATGACATCAGAGGTGCTTTAGGAAAGATCCGAGGAACTGCAGCGGTGGCCTTCCCATGCATCAGGTAGAGCACTGATCTAGTTCTGCCACTTCTGTGACAGACAGACTTTGTAACGATGGCTGTCTTAGAAAATGTAGAGCAGTCAACAAAAGCTGTTGGACTGATTTTTCTCTGAGAAATTAAACTTAGTTCACTAGAAAATTCCTGAAAGTTACATCCAGAATCAAATCCTTACTGAAAAACCTTGCTAACTTTCTACTATTTACTAAAGGGTTCTTGGTGGATATTATCTCTCTTTTGTATTTTTTTATTTTCAAAATTGGCAAGCAAAAAAGATAAACTGGTCATCAAACACTTGGAGACTTAGTAAATTTTAACCTTCTTCTTACAGAACTTTTGCTTAACAATGAGTCTTCTTGTTAATATTTAAAATAATTGGGTTTTACTGACTTGATAAAAATGGAAATTGGAAGCCATGGTCATCAGTAAATTAAATATTTTATTCAGATTTTAGCGTAATTAGAATTCATATTTTGGGGCTTCCCTGGTGGTGCAGTGGTTGAGAGTCCGCCTGCCGATGCAGGGGACGCGGGTTCGTGCCCTGGTCCGGGGGGATCCCACATGCCGTGGAGCGGCTGGGCCCGTGAGCCATGGCCGCTGAGCCTGTGCGTCTGGAGCCTGTGCTCCGCAGTGGGAGGCCACAACAGTGAGAGGCCCGGGTACCACCAAAAAAAAAAAGAATTCATATTTTGGGAAAATATTTACAAAGTCTCCTTAAAAAAGTGAGTTTACTTTTTTGATTCTCTGTATTAGTTTTCCTCCCAAATCTTAAAATAGATAGGTTCTCATACTTTATCTTAATCAGAAGGCAGTAAAACAAAACTTAAATAGAATTCATATAATATGGAGCTCCTTGGCATCAATTCACTACATGAATCTGAGACAGTATTCCACTGAGAGGGGGTGGTGACGGGAAGCAAGATGTGGGAGGCTCTGGGGCACTGATACTGTTTCCTACTTTTTTTTTAGGTTAAAAAAAATTTTTTTTTCTTTAATTGAGGTAACATTGATTTATAACATTACATACGTTTCATGTGTACAACATTATATTTCTACTTCAATATGCTCCCCACCACCAATTTATTTTCCATCATCACGGTACGGTTGATCCCCTTTACCCATTTCACGCCCCCACCTCCCCTCTGGTAACCACTGCTCTGTTCTCTGTACCTACACCATATTGTTGTTTCTTGATCTGTGTGTTGCTCATAGGGTTTGTTCAGTTTGTAACAACTCACCGTTGCACACGGATGATAGGTACGCTTTTCTGTTTGGATACTCTAATAAAAAGCTTAAAGTATGTGGTCTGTTCATGGCAGATGGGTGGCAGTAACTTCCAAGCACTGAGTATTCTTAATCCGCAATTAGGTATAGATCTAATATCCATAATTCTGTGATAACCGATAAGCCAGTACTGTGATACCCACGCCTTTGAGACAGAAGACTCAAGGAACCACCTACTGTCTCGACCCCTTTCATTTTCACTAGGTCTGGTGTGTGATGGGCGAAATTCTGTATTGTCCGAGAATACCAAATACTTTTTGAAGTAGCAGCTGTATGATGTTTGTTTTCCTTTGGTACCATGAGCAAATTATACGAGATACTATCATATTTTCAACAAGAGCATTTAAAGCATATTCCCAGAAATTAGTTGGTTTATAAATTAAATTCTGTCAATCACTGCATACTGAAGAAAAGGGAACGCTGGTTTGAAAGGTGGCATGGATACCCATGACTTATTTTCTCTTTCTCATTCTTCTGTTCATTTACTCGCCTCTTTGGAGGTAGTAAATTTACTATGTGTAGGATAAATACCCATTACCTCCTAAGTGCCAGGGACTGAGGATCTAAAGATGAATCTGGGACCTGCCTGTGTCACAGTGGCTAGCTTGTAATCAAACCTATTCCCTCTTTTTCCTGGGCACGAAGTTAAGCTCTATTTCCTTGTCTCTGCACAGTCAGGAGTGGTGCATGACTGAATTTATAGCCAATGCAAGAGATGGCCGGGTCTGTGAAAACCTTCCAGGTAAGATCCCTTTCATGCTCTTTCTCCACCCGCTGGGTTGATGGAGGTGAGCACGGCGACCTCGGAAGCCAAGGAGTGAGGTTAATGGAATCACAAGACGCACGGAGCCTGAAACCTTACTTACAGGAGGGTCACTCACTAGTCAGCACCCCGTTTTGGACTTTATGTGACTGAGAAGTAAACTTCTTTCATGTTTGAGCCATTATGCATTTCTGGGTTGGTTGACCACAGCGACTAGAATTAACTAATATTGTGAAGCTAAGGAGTTGATTACCTTTTCAGGTATTTACATACAAAAAAACTTACAATACAATTTAATACAAAATAATAAAGGTTATAGGAAAGTTAGTGGAGGGAATAGTGAATTATGCCTGGAAAGGGTTCTTGAAGTAAGTAACATGTGGAGTAGGTCTGAAGCATGAACAGATAAGAGTCTGTCAGGGAGATGAGTTGTGGGGAAGGGGCAATGCCTAGTACAGGGGAAGGCACGAGCAAAAGCACGGCCGCACAGAGCGTCCTTGCTAACTATGCCTGTGAGGGGAGTGATGGGAGCGAAGACCAGAGAACTCTGGGGCCAGACTGTGACACGGTCAGGAGAACAAACATTACCTTGTGTGCAGTGAGGGCTGTTCCAGGCTTCAACTGACACGGGGAATGAAGGTCAGATTGGAAAGGGGGGAGCCTGCAGACAGGAAGACTGAGCAAGAAGTAGTGGTTGTGGACATGGAGAAAGAGAGGCGACATTGCCAAATATTTCTGAGGTTCAGAACTAACCTGATTAGATGGGGAGGGCCGCGGGGAGGGATGCAGGGGAGTACGCGGGTGAAGAGGAGTCAGCTTCTATCTTAGAAGGAAAAAAAAATCTTAAGTACTGAGAGAGTAGATGTTCTGAAGTCAAAAAACAAGTACAGATTGTGGGGGAGAGAGAACCAGAATTAGTTCAGATTCAAAGTTGACGAGTTTGAAACACCCTTTTGAATCCCTCAGATAGGTCACGGGGGATTATGGGTCTGGCCAGTAACGTGTTTACTTTAGGGATGGGTCACCTTTTGGAAGTGAGAGCACGAGAGAACCCTGAATTTAACTGATGGGTAGAAATCCCTAAATCACCCTAGCAGGAAATGCTAATCTATTTTTTAAAATTTAATTTATTAAAAGAAGGTAATCAACTAATTCAAACAAATAATTTTAAAAAGGCAGATAGAGTGAAAACTCCTCTTTTCCACTGTTTCTCAAGCAACCCAATTTCTCTTCCCAGAGAAACCAATGTTAGCAGATCTTCTGGATCTGCTGAGGTATTTTCACTCAGACAAGCAAATATGTCTTGTCTTTTTACAACACATATACACAGACCCCTCCCCCCCAGCCCCGCCTTCCGTGTCTTAAGGACGTTCACGTACCTTAGTGTGGCGCCTTCAGTCTTAATCACATCTCCATCTTTCACATAAACATACTGTTGCTCTCCATCTCCTACTGTTTCTTTTCTCTCGGGATTCCGTGGGAGTTTTTTAATGCAGTATGTACTGTCTAGTCACAAAACACGTAAAATATATTAAGTCACACTTTAAATGATAACTTAGCCTTTTAAGAGATCAACTTCCATACGGCGAACACTTGAGATTGGCTGCAAAAAATCTTAACGGTAAGAGGCAACAGAAAATGGGATGAATTGTAGCAGCATATCTCTGGGATGGTAACTATTTCCTCCACCTTAACGAAAGAGTTTTTTATTCTCTCATGTCCTTCCAGGTCTACATAAAAGCCTTTGTTTTTTTGTAGTCACTCCTCTTTTTTTTTTTTTTTGCGTTACTTGGGCCTCTCACTGCCGTGGCCTCTCCCATTGCGGAGCACAGGCTCTGGACGCGCAGGCTCAGCGGCCATGGCTCACGGGCCCAGCCGCTCCGCAGCATGTGGGATCCTCCCGGACCGGGGCACGAACCCGTGTCCCCTGCATCGGCAGGCGGACTCCCAACCACTGCGCCACCAGGGAAGCCCGTCACTCCTCTTTTATATAAAAATTTGGAAGTAGCACTTCACAGTCTCAGCTAGGTTTGAGATCAAGATGGGTGTTGAATACTGTAGAGCACTGGGAACTTTACTCAGTACTCTGTAATAACCTATATAGGAAAAGAATCTGAAAAAGAACAGATACACGTATATCTATAAGTGAATTACTTTGCTGTACACCTGAAACTAATACAACATTGTAAATCAACTAGACTCCAATAAAAAATAAAGATTAAAAAAAAAAAAAGATGGGTGTTGAAGAGGCAGTAATACCCAAACTGGGAACTTTTCCCTATCTAGGTGCCTAACACAGAATAAAAGAGGTTATGGCATCACGGCAGTACTTAATAATAAAAGGATAATAGTATAAAGTTCTTTCTGTGAAAGCTGAAAGGAAGCCCCAAACCCGGGGCTAAGATATGAAACCATTAAAATAAATGTAACCCATAGTACCCTCACTGACACAAAGAAAATCAATTACTTAACCAATCAATAGCTGAGTGGCAGTCATCTAACCAGTATACTATGTACAGTGAATACAAGGACCATGACACCAAAATGCTTAAAAACTGTCGTAGTTGGGGGAAATAAAACACAAACAGGCAATAATTAGAGAACTATACTCAGTCCCACTTAAGGGATACTAAATGGACAATTCAGCTAATAAAAGCAGCAGGTGTTTAGAGAAAGGAGAAACAATTAGAAAGATGGCAAAGGGTTCAGAGAAAGACCTGTAGGTAAGGGAAACAGTGTTAGTAAAGGCAGAGAAAGGAGGATGAGCGTGGCATATGTGCCAAACAATGCTACCAACTTGCCTAAAGCAAAACCCTGACTGGAAAGAGTGGGACAGTAAGGTGAGCTCAGATCATGGAGGGCCTTAAAGTGCCTTTCAGAGAACAGGGGGATTTAAACTTTACAGTATGTGGCTACCATACACTCTTTAGTAAGAAACTGAAATAGTGTTAATAGGTGGATTAGTATGGCAGCTGTACATGGGGAGACTGGAGAGGGAGAGATCAGAAAGACCAGGACGGGGTGACTGCAATAACCCTGCTGGGAGGTAAGGAGCATTAGGGCTACAGTGGTGTCAATGGAAATGCGGAGGGAGAAAAACACATGCAAAGGAAAACTGACAAGGCATAGAAATCTGGCTAGTAGGAAGGATAAAGGATAGAAATATCACAAATATAATAAAAATAAAACAACAGCAACTAGACCTTCCCTCTCCAGTGCCAAATTCCATTGCTTTGTATCTTGAGAGGCTGAAGCAAAAAGTAATATGCTATTCTGGGAACTGACGTTACACAGTAAGGCTGTCTTCAATTTAGAGTGAGATAGCAAGGTGTTTTTGTTTGTTTTTATTTGTGAGCTGCACAATTTTGTTTTTCAGTAAAGAAGTGGAGACACTACATCTCTAGTTATGAGGCAGATGATCCTTCCCAAAAACTCACAACTGCCTCAAAATTACAAAACAAATTTCACACTATAAAATAACTCCGTGCCGGTTTTTAAAATTATGTGCAAATTTGAAAACACATATCTTATTCACAAGAGCAATCTACACAGGCAAGATGGAGAAGGGCATGCTGAAATCAATCATATAGTAGTTATTATTTTAAATGAAAGCTTATTGAGATGTAATTCGCATACTATAAAATTCACCCTTTTGAAATGTACAATTCACTGTTGTTGTTAGTTTTTTTTTTAGCGTATTCAAAGAATTGTACAACCATAATCACTATAAAATTTTAGAACATTCCGAAACCCTATACCCAATGGTACTCACTCCCTATTCTCTCCTTCACCCAGCCCTTGGCAACCACTTATCAACTTTCCGTCTCTATTGTGTAATTATTTTAACAGGAGGAAACCCTCAGTCATTTGTTAAGGTTTATGGATTATAATATCATTGCCAATGCTAATTATTTAAGCTGATACAAACGTGATATTGCTCATGTATAATACTTTCTAACATTCTAATTGAATAGCAAGAAGCAAACATTTGACTCCTAGGGCTCGGATGTTAAATACATGGCAAAGGCCCAACTTCAGCTGCAAAATAATAATAATTAGATAACAAAATATATTTTACAAGATTTACCCAAAACCAAGCCAAAACAAAAAACTTGAGCACCCTGGGGCTATACAGTTCTCATGTCTGGTAAAATTCTGGCTCCCTGTAAGCCACTAGGAGTTCCCAAATCACACACTGATCATATTTTAAATTTTTGCAGGCAGATTACTTCAGAGTTACCCTAACTTCCCATAGAAATCTTATAAATGGCATTCATAATTTTGGTGTGGCCTGTAAAAACACAGGAAGTGGGCTTCCCTCGTGGCGCAGTGGTTGCGAGTCCGCCTGCCGATGCAGGGGATGCAGGTTCGAGCCACGGTCCGGGAAGATCCCACATGCCGCGGAGCGGCTGGGCCCGTGAGCCATGGCCGCTGATCCTGCGCGTCCGGAGCCTGTGCCCCGCAACGGGAGAGGCCACAACAGTGAGAGGCCCGTGTACCGCAAAAAACAAAACAAAACAAAACACAGGAAGTTAGCATTGTAAAGTACTTGAAAAATTCTGCCATACTAATAGTTAAACAAAATTATAAAAAATTTAAACTATTAAAATATGGAATAAAAAGAAATTATAAAGCAAAATGGAACAAGAATGCTAGTGATTAAGGATTTACAGAATGAAGAAATACATGGAACTTTGGGGGAGAGATCCTGAAAGGTACACCCGAACAATTTCAGTGCTGAGGAACTCAAGGTCTGCATGTAGCTGGTCTAGCTTCAATAAAGATCAGAATGAAACACAACAAGCCACTTCTCAAACAAGTATTAAAGTTTTCATGGCTATGAAGCAGTGTCAAATTTCTTTTTGATTTTCTTTAAATCAACATAATAGGTAATCTATCATATAAATATTCATTATTTGTAGGGAACCCCAAACTATTTTAATTTTTAATTTAAAGAAAGTGGGTCAGATGTCCAGTAACAGGTGAATGGATACACAAATGGTGGTATATTTCTACCATGGATTACTACTTGGCAATAAGAAAGGAACAAACTACTGATGCATGAAACGGGTGAATCTCAAAAACAAGATGCTAATGTGCAAGAAGCCAAAGAGTGATGTCGTATCCTTCCATTCTAGAAAACTTTAGAACACAGGCAAAACTAATCTATGGTGATATAAAGCAGATGAGTGGTTGCTGGAGCTGGAGGGGGAATCACTGCAGAGCGGCATGAGGGGACCTCTCTTTGGGGTAGTGGGAGCGTTCTTTATCTTGATTGGAGTGGTCACATAGGTGTTTGCCAAACTATACATTTTATGGGTACATTTTATGTATGTAAATTCAAGCTCAATAAAGCTGATTTATGAAGGAGAGAAAGGGGGCCATAAACATTTCAATTTTTCAAGCTGACCTGCATGCTAAAAGAGCTGCCCAAAGCTAATTAAGGATCCTCGGCATAGTTTTTTAATTCACAAAATTTAATGATGGACAAGAGAAAGAAAGGTGAGGACAGGTCAGACTAAGACAGAGTGATTTCCTGTGGAGGGCAGTCCCTTCGGATTGGAAGAAAGGAGGTTAGAGGGTAAGAGACTGAGGGGAGACAGGTCTTTACAATGGGCCTCCTGGTGATATTGGGAGCTGTGCCTGAGAATATCTTGGTGTCCCAATTATAGTCTCAAGGCCTAAAAAGATAATTACAAACATTAAAAAATACTAGTCGAATGTTTACATGCATCCCTTTTGTGAATGAACGTTCTTGACCTCCTTGTCTTTCCTGTGCCTTGGACACACACAAAGTCCCACTCCAGTGTCTCTGCCCCGGCAATGCCCTCTGCTGGGTGTGCCCTCCTCTCAGATACCGTACAGCTCACCCCCTCTCCCTCCACCCCAGACACCACTGCTACCACCCTCCTCCGCTTTACTCTCTCCCCCCTTGCCTTCATGTAGCTTCATTTTTCTTCATAGCACCTGTCACCATCTGACCTAAGATTCATTTACCATTTACCTTTCCAACTAGAACGAAGCTCCATGAAGGCGGTCTTTGTTTTGCTCACTGCTAGGTCCTGTGTGCCAAGAATGGCACCTGGATTTAGCAGTGCCTCCAGTATTCACTAAAGGAAAGAATGGATGGATGGATGGACGAATGGATGAATGTATGTATGTATGTATGGATGAATCTATGTGTGTGACGGTGGGATGAGGGAATAAGGGAGATGGTAAGGTGTCAGTACTGAATAGGTTTCAGGGACAGAGAATTATCAATACAATGATCTTTCCCCAGTATTTCAGTTTACTGTGGTAATTGCCTTATGTTATGGAAGACGTGAGGTCACATTTAGAATGTGGACAAGAACATACCACCTCACAGTACTCAGGCCAAACGTTCAGCACAGTGCCTGGCACACAGTAAGTGCTCAACAGTAGTTAGTTATTAAATCTGAAATAGTAATTGTCATGCAAACTAAATTAAAACTGCTCTTCATCACTGGGCAAAGGGGAAAAATAAGAGGGCAAAGAGATCTGAAATAGAAAATAGGACCTTTCCTTGCCTCCTCTGTTAAAACTGGGGATAGTGTTCAAGTTACAGTAATTTCTGAAAGTACCATTTAAATACGTAAGTAAGCTAGTAAATGGTTTACCAGCTTACTTAGCTCTGTTAACCGAAGTAAATTATTCCGAAGACACAGTTTTCTTCAGTGAGCTTAATGAATGTTTTCTGTTTACCATTATTGATGTTTTTACAAATATCTCCTATGCCTCCGGTATGATCACGGTGCCAATGGGTCACTATGATTTCCTGGATGGCTGTGTTAAACTCTGTCAGAGCCTGCTTTAAACAGATGATATATTCTGGGATTGCTGGTTCTCCAGTGTCAATGAGGATTCTCCTGAAAATTAAATGGAAAATAATCATACAGTCGGAACACAGAGTTTGTATCAGCATGTTTCTCACACAGATAATTTACATTACATTTAAGAAACCACACAAATTCAAATTGCCTTGCTTCCAACGTGCTTGAAAAGCAGCTGCATGTTATTTCAGCTTAACTATAATCATCTCACCTTCAGAAAGTTCTCTGAAAAAAAACTTATAAATGTGAGTCTGAACAAGGAATAATAGCAATGGTATTCAACACTTACATAGCACTTGAAAGAGATAAGGCACTGTTCCAAGGACCTGACATATTTTAACAATTGTATTTCTCGTAACACCGTTTTGAAGTAGGCATTTCATTATTATATCCAGAAATTAAGTAACTTGCCCAAGGTTACTCTGCAAAGATAGGGCAGAAGCAACATTTGCACCCAGGTATTCTGGCGCCAGAAGACGCGCTTTTATCCACGCTGCCTTTGAGATCTTTTACAACATCCTCAAATGTCTCGGAGATATGAAAGAATCTGATTCGATGGTATCCCTAAGGAAACCCAGTCTTCTGCACTATACACAAAACCGATCCCCGAAGTTTTACACGGGCTGCCTCACGTGAAAGTGCAGGCAGCAAGGAAGTGTCGGGGAGTCTCTGAGCTGCTTCCTTTCTCTACTCAGACCACCTCATTAGTTATCTTTTTCTGCTTGTGGTTCTGAACCCACCTTCTACTTTGTTTGCCCTTTCTCACTATTTTATGGGATGATGGTCTTTCTCTCTGAAGTTTTCTGGAAGAAATCAGGGTGACATTTTCCTCCTCCAGAACCAATTCACTGGCTTCTTAAATTCATGCTGTTTCACAGGAATCGCTCCCGAATTCAGACTGGGGGAGAGATGATTCATCTTGATGCGAAGTTTCAGTCATTCTATTTGTGTATTAATTCATCAGTAACTGTTTATGAATGATCTGCTATGTGCCATGCCTTTCTTGCAAGACAAAAACCCATCTTGCCCTGGAGAAACAACCTGACTTTGTATGTTAATGATGACACCTGTAACAGCAATTTTAGTACATGAACGATGTTGTTGACTACAGCAATTTTAGTCATCTGACTCTGGTGGATGAATATTTAGGTAGCACAGGACTGAGGGCAGAGGGGACAAGAAAGGGAATAAAGTTTTGGATAGAGAGATTAGTCATAAACTCGGTAAGGAAACGTGGCTTTAGGGGGACTCAGTTGCACAGTCACTTGTCCATTCAAGACACACTGTGGGTCTCTGGAGGAAGTGGACTACATGGGAAGCACCTACAATCATTCTTCATGTGGCGTAAGTCCAACCTCAGCTGTAAAATGGAAAAAAAGGTTGTTCCCTCCTTAACAAACAGCAAGTCTATCAATGATGTCTGTGAAGAATTAGTGCAGAGGATCAGACACTGTCATCTCTAGGTGGGCTGTGTCCTTCACAGCCCAGACAATACCCTATCTTAGGATGTCATTTTGCAAATGTGAGTTATGCTAATCCAGGGGACAAGAGAAGAGTGCAGAAGAACCTGTACAGGTCTGTGACCAATTTATTCACCAGAGCACAGGGCCTGGCATGCAGTAACAATCTGCTACGTGAACGGAGAAAAAAATTCTTCAACTAACGGGAGTTAGTGGCATCAACTTTCTCAATTAGGTATTTTCTATCAACATTGAGATAGCTATTAAATGGTCTCTGTCAATTTGCTGTCCCTCTTACAAAATCATTAAGTACTTTCTGAGCACCTACTATAAACCCAGTATTGTCTGGATGTTACAAGGGAGGAAAAAGTGAGTAAAGTAATAGCTGACGTGCTTTCCCCGTTCTAGAATTTAAGTACTTTGGGTATGAATTTTCACTTAAATTTCACTGAATCCTCATAACATCCGTCTGAGGTGGGTACGATACAACTCTCACTGTATAGATAAGGAATCTGACGCTTAGTGAAATCGACTGTCTTATCAACAGCCATGAGCCAGGTACTGGGACCTGATAATCAGAGCCCAGCGTCTTAACCCCAACTAGTCCACTAGACTGCCTTTTCCTATTAAGAAGAAATAGTATACTCACCCTCAAGGTATTTACAATTTTAATAGTAAAGATTAAAACTCCATCTTTTAGAGGTTCTAGGCAGAGGAGGAATGTGGAAATACTCTTTGGAAGACCTAGCTATTATTGGTCCATTCAAATGTTTACTGAATACCTCTGTACTAGGCATCACAGTAAGTCTGAGTGCTTTAGGGAAATTCATTTGGCATCTATGGGCTGATCAGAAAGAGGAAGGAAGACTGGTTAAAACTGCAGTTATCCAGCAGTAATAGAATCCTAACAGAGCAAATGAAGGGAAAAAGAGAATGCTCATTCATTCAGCAAATATTTACTGTACTATGTACAAGGCTCTGTGCTAGGTGCCAGAGATATAGTAATGAATAAGCCTTCATTGAATTTATATTCTAGTGGGGAGTGGAGTTGGGGAAATACCTTAAGCTTCTCCCTACACACAAAAAATCATTTTATTATTGACATAAGGGCCATGACAAGTATGGAATGCTAAGGCAGTGTACTACATTAACCTATCACAGTGTAAGGCGTCAGGGAAGGCTTTATTGAGGAAATGTTATTTTAACAGAGCTCTAAAGGATGAGTGAGGTTGGCTGGGTGAAGAGAAGGATAAGTGGGAGACAGAGAGGAAAGGAGGCATGAAAGCTCTGAGGCGGAATGGATAGAGCCCATGTGGCCGGGATGGGAGAGAAGCTTGACTCAGGGTGATGACAGATCGGAGATCAGAATATCTCAAGGCCTTCTAGTTTCCATTTTCCAAAAAATCCAACTCTGTTATGTTGGTGAATCACAAAGTTTTAAATGCAGCCAGACACATCGCTTCTGTGACTTCTGATGTCAACTGAATTGCCACACCCTTACGAAACCTCTCCACAGTGACTAGATTAAAATCTTTAATTATACGGTGCCAGAACTCTAGACTTACTCTTCATCGGCCTCGTCAAATGGTAAATTATATATCCATTTTGGGGGCTATATGTTTTTGGGGTTTTTTTTTTTTTTGGCCACACTGAAGCCAGTGGGATTTTAGTTCCCCAACCTGGGATTGAACCCAGACCCTCGGCAGTGAGAGCACGGAGTCCTAACCACTGGACCACCAGGGAATTCCCTGGGGGCTATTTGATTTATGGTATCTACAATTCGCCAAGCCAAGTGAAAGCAAAACTATTGTTATGTGTGTATTTTTTCTACCAAGTCCATAGGAGACTCCTAGTATATTGCCTGAGACACAGTAGGCACTTAGAAATGTTTCTACTATGAATGAAGGCTTTCTTTTTTATCAAATAACATTTAAAAGAGTCTGTAAGAAATATTATGTCTCCAAAAACTTTTTAAAAATACCAGAGGTGTTTTATTAAAGGGCAACTTAATCAAGACCAAGTTGTATTACTACTTTACAAACAGACCTCATTTTAAGCATACTGCAAGGAAAAAAAAGTTTCATGTTTCACCTACGTATAATAATGTCCCTTGAAATGTCACTTTGACGCTCCTCCCATCAAGGATGGCAGTCTGTTTCCGCATCCTTTGAGTAGGGACTTACACTGGGTTTTCCTACTGAAAAGACTGACATGAAAGTGATGGCTTGCCATTCGTAAGCCTCAGCCTCCAGGTCTTTCTTTCCGTGCTTCCTCTCACTCCACTGGAACCCTGAAACTAGCCAGTGAATAAGCTAGGCTACCCTGCTGCAGGATAAGAGACCAGAACACAAAAAACAAGAACCCCACAATACTCCTTTGGCTACGTGGGGGAGAATGGATTGAACAGGGACAAAAGTAGATGCAGAAAAGACTGACTACTTTAAAAGCCTAAGCAAGAGTTGTACTGGCTTGGACTGGGTGACAGCAGTGAAAATGCTGAGATCTTCTTAATGGCTTGGATACGTGTGTGCAGGAAGCAAAGAAAAATGTCAAGGAGGGTACGTAAGTATTTGCCTTGATCAAATGTGGGGATGGTTCTCTTTACCAAGATTTGGATGACTGGAAGAAGACCAGTGGGAAACAATGAGTTTCAAGTGGCTGTGAGGCTCCAACTAGAGATTTAAGAAACCAGTTGGCTATCCTAGTCTGAAGATGAAGCTTGGATTTGTCTACACTGGAGCTATAAATTTGGGAGTTACTAATGAATAAAACAGGTGAAGCCAAGGAAGTAGACAAGATCCCCTAGGTAAAGAACATAACAATGGGAACAGAAGAAAGAGTAGGATTGCCTTGTGAAGGGCTCATATACTTAAAATACTTGGTGAAGAGGATGATTCTAGAAAGCAAATTGTATAAGAGTACCTAGAGAGGTGAGAGGAAACCAGGAGAATGCGGTGTTAAGCAAATCAAGGAGGGAGTGGTAAATAGCATCAAAAGATATTGAAGTTCAAGTAAGATGGGAATGGAAAAATGCCATTGGGTTTAGTGATACAGGAGGCACCTGTGATCTTAGTGGAACAGATGGATACCATTATCAGAACCACTTACTTGGACCCAACTAATATTCATTCCTAGCCACCTAACATCTACTTTATACAGCAGAGCAGCAGCATCTGTACATCAACTTATTCTAGTTCAACTACATGGGTTCACCATCACCTCTCTCTCATCTATGAGTGATTCCACTGGCCGTTCCACTCCCTAAGCTTATGTGGGTAGAAGTCTAAGCAGTGTAAGATGGAAGGCTGTGAATCTGCTCTTCCCTCAATCAGTTTCAGGTTCCTCATGTCTTTTAGCACCAGCACCTTGCCACGCAGAGTGTGATTCTAGTGTTTAAAGACACAGTATGGATTTTTCATACAACACGGCCCCTAAACCTAAGCCAACTTCTTCATCTGGTTTTCAAACAGAACCAGCCATCTGTTTCACCGCTGGAAGAAAAGCAGGCTGTGTTGAACTTACAGAGAGAGTACACTGATCTCCAACATAGTGTTTTCCTGAGAGACTTTCTAGGATAATTTTGACTACATGCCATTTTCATGTTAGGTACTGTCTTTTAGAGCTCGTTTAAGATGACACACTGAAAAGTGAAGAGCATATCTATGGACTTCCTAGGGTGAGGGAGTCTCAGCTAACCCAGACTCTACGCCAGATATCAGGTATTTTTGTTGCTTAATTTTCTCTTCTCCTCGATTCCGGAAGCAGCTCAAAGCTCTGACCCTGCCTTGTTTACCCTGGACTCAACTTGTTGCTTTCTGCTTGATGTGCAGTACTTCCAGACCCTCCATCCTGTTGCTTCTAAAATTGTGATTTACTGGAAAAAGGCAAATACAGTGGATACTTCAAATGAAAGCCCAATAAACTATACTTATTAAACCGTTTTTAGTAATCAACTATATTTTACTAATTGTAACACGTCTGGGCTGAACAATTAAATTCTGGGCTCAAGCGGAACTATATCTTATTTTCATTTTCTATTATCTAGAGTATACTAAAGACTAAGTACCATACAAAAATTGCTCAATGCACTTATTGTGCAGTAAATCACATGTTCCCATGTCTGCATAATTCCACTAAAATAGAATGCATCTGAACAAGAGAAAAATCTTAGAAATACAGACAGGCTATTCCCTCCGCAGAGTAATTTAAATAAGGCCACACAACAGCAACAAAAACAAAGTTAGCTTCTCTTTCCCAAGAGCTAGGGGACTCTTCAACAGACTCGAGCAACTTGAAGCAAGAAAATCCTGCCCTCTGCTGCTGAGTTAAGAAAAAGGCCTCAGCACAACGAATCGCTTTTGCGAAGCGAAGTTAAACTCCGGGCCAAACACCAGTGAAAGGTGTGGAAAGTAAACGCTTTCCTGGATTAACTCCAGGCGATTTCTAGTTTCTCAACAGCTTAAACACGCTCATCCTGGCATTCAATATCATGCAAAGTAAATTAGGTCTCAAAACCACGAAGTGGTTTTTTTCATTAGCCAGCTGTAAGTTAGAGAGTTGACCACCCAGGGTGGTCGTGATCTGGGGGTGGTCCCGCCCGCTTGGGGCGAGACGCCGTGGTGCCGGCTGCGGGCGCACAGCCTTTCCGCCCGCGGCGAGCAGCGATCGCAGCCCCAGCTCCGTGCGTCCCGCGGGTCGGTGTGTAGGATGCGGGGTTGTGGGGGGGAAACGTTTACCTGGGGCCGGTCCCCACCAGGTAGGTGTTGGTGCCCTGCAAGGTCATGGGGCCCGGGTTACAGCCCAGGACGCGAATCACCCGACTGGACAGCCGTTCCACGCGCTGCAGGGCGGCTGCCATCTCCCCCTCTGCCGCTCGCCCGCGCTGAACTAGAAGAGCCGCCGGAGCGCGGAACAAGCAACCAGGCCGTTGGGGGGGGTGGGTGGTGGGTGGAGGGCCAGCTGTCACGTGACGCCGCGCGTGCGGAGCGGGCTGTGTCTCGGCTACTGAGCCCGGGGCAGAGGTCACGTGAGGCGCAGGGAAGGGCGGGGGAAATCTGCCGCTGTGCCGCGGGCGGGGCCCGCGAGCACGTGACGACGCGCGAGCGGCGCGGGAAGGGAGGGGAGTCGGTTGCTGCGCGAGGGGCGGGGCCAGCGGCCACGTGACACTGCCCAGGTTTCGCGGGCCGCAGCGCGAGGGAGTTCGTGGGCGTGTGGTGTGAGGCGCCCCGAGGTCAGGCTGGGTTCCCGGCCTGTGGGCGCTGCTGCCTGTCATAGAAAGTGGTGCCTTCGCAGTAGTTTGTGTCCAGGCAGGCGAGTTCATTCAAGTGCACGAGAGACCTTTTAACCGGGGAAGTTTTGTGATGGAGCGAGGGGTTTGGGGTTAGTTACTGAGGACGAAATCCCGGGAAGGATCGCTCGTCGGGTTCTCAGGCGAGGGTGAGGGTGTGTGTGTGTGTGTGTGTGTGTGTCATGTGTCGTGTGTCCTGTGTGTGTGTCGTGTGTCGTGTGTGTCGCGTGTCCTGTGTGTGCTGTGTCCTGTGTGTCGTGTGTCCTGTGTGTGTGCTGTGTGTGTTGTGTGTGTCCTGTGTATCATGTGTGTGTCCTGTGTGTGTGTCCTGTGTGTCCTATGTCGTGTGTGTGTCCTGTGTGTCCTGTGTCGTGTGTGTGTCGTGTGTGTGTGTGGTGTGTCCTGTGCCCTGTGTGTCCTGTGTCGTGTCCTGTGTGTCGTGTGTATGTCCTGTGTGTGCTGTCCTGTGTGTCTTGTGTGTGTGTCCTGTGTCGTGTGTGGTTGTCCTGTGTGTGTCCTGTGTGTCGTGTGTGTGTGTCCTTTTACAATAAACAGCAGTAACGAAGGTTTATTTAGTGCTTGCTGCTGTGCTGAGTGCCATTCTCTCATTTAAGCTTCCCAACGTGAAGAGGGAAGGCACTATTTTTATGCCCACTTCACAAACGCAAGACGGAGACTTGGGGACTTGCCCAGGTGAGCGTTCTGTGAGCCCAGCCCTGCGTCTGAAGCCTTGTTCGTCTCGCTGCCTTGCGCCAGCACCTGCCCCGTGCCCGCGGATTCAGGGAGCTCCTCTCCCGCCTCGTGCCGCTCGCCTACCCAGAGAAGCAGGGTGGCCTGCGTGTTGGGGGCTTGGGTCCAGGACGTGAAGTACTTATCTTTGTAAGGAGTCCTTTTCTAATCCGCTGAGCGTTAACTACCCCAGTGTTAACTAACCCTCCCCATTAAAAAAAATAGTCGAGTTACAGTGTACTTAAAAGGAAATGCACGGATCCCATGATCACTTGTATCCAGTTATGGCAATTATGTAACCGGCACCCCAGACCCCTTTTTCAAAACAAGTGAGAACTTGACACATGAGATGCCTGTGGTTCTACAATTTGGACGTGCATTTTTTTTTTAATATACAAAGATTAATTTTGTTTTTATTTACTAGCAATAAACATGGACATGCATTTTTAACATCCTTTTTTGTCAGGAATTCCTGAAGGAAGGACTCTTGCTATTTATACAGTATTTATTTTACAAATCATCAGTTTAATACTCCAGATTTCTTGAAAACACACCTGGATTATGTGTGACAGATTTCTTTGCCTGTGTCTCAAAGGTCTATTTCTTCCTGTGTTTCAAAAACCTTCATTGAAATAATCATGTAAATTATCCCCTTTGCAACGGGAAGGCAAGCAATAAGTCCTTTAAAAATTGCTTGGAATAACCATCAAAATTCCCTACATCAGGTATTTTCAGCTTACCAATATTTATTTATTTGTCTGCTATCTGTTAATAGTTCTTCAGGCAAGAAGCTATTTTCCCTTTCTAAAAATTCTCTGCTGGAAAGTCAGCAAACCTTTGAAAAGAGGGTGGAACTGATTACATGGGCAGCTCCATTCTCTTGTCCCTTAGCTTTTTTTTTTTTTTTTTAAATTAAAATTTCCCTTGTGCCTTCCATCAAGATTTCATTGAATTCATTGTCAAGCTCTTCACTGGGTAGATGAAGAAATGGGCCCAACAAATAATTTAAAAGTTAAGTGACTAGAGTCATAGAAGGAGACATTAGACACTAGCAGAAGAGGAGGAACAGAGGGTAGGTAATGAACTTGTTTTAGACTAGTTTAAATTGAGGTGGTTGTGGGATATCCCCATAAAGAAATCTACAGACATATATGGGTTGAGCTCAGAAGAAAGATATAGGCTACAGAGAGAAAATTGAGTCTTTGTGAATATGTTTAGCAATGAGACTTGAAGTTTAAGTTCCTCCCCAACAAATAAGACCAATGATTTTTACATTCTGTTCAGTTACATTTACTGTTGTGGACGTGTGGGTGTGTGTTAAAATGAATAAGATAGTTAGCTTTCTAGAGGTGTATTACCAGGAAGGAGATGTATATGATCTTATTTTAAAACATATGTGGGTAAATCCTAGAGAAGTATAGCTGAAGTGATGGGATTGCAAGGAGGAGGGAGAGAATCAAATTGATTGGGAAGATCTCGGAAAACTTAGAGGGGGTGGGTTTTGAGCTGATTCTTAAAGACTGATAGGACTTCAGGAAGATGGAGGTAGAAGTAAATAGTAAATAACTTGAGCAAAGGCTTGGAAATAGAAGAACTGTAGTGTTTATTTTCGAAATAGAAACCAACAATCATATATTCTTGGGGCATAGGGTTTGAGAAGGTATATACAGTTTGAAAAAATAAGTAGGCTCTGTTAATGATAAATTCTTTATTAGAGTATTTCAGATTCAAGAATCTCTCTCTCCCTTTCAAACATGAATTGTCCACTTAGATATACTGTGAGGCAAGTTGTGTCTTCTTAAAACTTAATTGATAATACAGTAAAGGCTTGTAACCTAGTCAACCTGTAAAAGGAGCCATGTAATTCCTTCCCCCAATGTGATGGTTAAAAAGGAGTGTACTGTGGTCACAATGATACAGACTCTGTTATCACTGGATTAGAAAATCCCACATATGACTAACAGGTGATTTCAGTTTCATTTTAGTTTCGACGTTCAAGGTTTACGCATCCCTTAATTATGCTTATTTTCAGTGAAGAAGAAATGAAAGATTCCCAAGATGAAGATTCTCCAGAAGGGACTTTGAGTTAAAGAAGGCTTCTTATATGTAACAAGTAAGCCTGTATTTTACATGTTAAATTTGACTGATAAATGAAAGTCTGCTTGTTTGTATTTCTTTCAGGTATCTTCTTTATTGTGAAGAGATCATCTACAGTGGGCAAAGGTTATGTATTTTGGCTGGCAGCCAGGTAGCCACATAGCTGGGTTGACCTCTGAATGAAATTGTATTGAAACTGTCCTATTACGTCAGTAAGTGTCCTGAATTCTCTAACTGAAGTCAAATTTTGTAGGTGGCATTATTTCTGCTAAGGTGGTATTGGAACAGTGATCAAGTGTAGGGATAAAGATGAACTATCCTTCATGCAAGTTATACAACTACGTGGTTACTGAAGGAGCTGCAGGCCCTTTTTTATGAGAGCTGCTATGTTTATTATGTACTTTGCTGTGTAGTTTTCCTTCTAGTTGGCGTTATGTTCTGTTTCACTAAATTAGGAATTTAGAAGTTGCCAGATCAGATTAGTTTATTGAGTCTGATGTTCTGCCAGTAATGCAATTTCTAAGTTTCTTAGAAATTATTTTTTCCCATCTTGTAAATCTTGTCTCAAAATGGCTAGTGTTTTCCTTATACATGCCAGGTAAAGGAAGCTCTCTTTGTGGGGAGAGTGATTAAGAAATGCACACATGGAGGTCTACCTCGTTTTATTGCCCTTTGCTTTATTGTGCTTCTCAGATATTGTGGTTTTTACAAACTGGAGATTTTGGCAACCCTGCATTGAGCAAGTCGACCAGCACCATTTTTCCAACAGCATTTGCTCCCTTTGTGTCACTGTCACATTTTGGTAATTCCCGCAATATTTCAAACTTTTTCATTATTGTTATATTTGTTATATATTGTTATGGTGTTCTGTGATTAGTGATCTTTTACTCTTTTTTTAAAAAAAAATTTATTTATTTGGCTGCGCTGGGTCTTAGTTGCGGCACGTGGGATCTTTTAGTCGCGGCGTGCAAACTCTTAGTTGTGGCATGTGGGATCCAGTTTCCTGACCAGGGATCGAACCCAGGCCCCTGCATTGGGAGCATGGGGTTTCACCCACTGGACCACCAGGGAAGTCCCAGTGAACTTTTACTCTTGCAAAAAGATTTTGACTCGCTGAAGGCTCAGATCATGGTTAGCATTTTTTAGCAATAAAGTATTTTTAAATTAATGTATACACATTTTTTTAGACACAGTGCACACTTAATGCACAGCCTTTTAGACAGAATTGCACACTTAATAGACTACGGTATAGTGTAAACATAACTTTTATATGCAACCAAAAAATGTGTGTGACTCACTTATTGCGATATTTGCTATATTGTGGTGGTCTGGAATCAAACCCGCAGTATCTCCAAGGTGTGCCTGTATATTGAAATCAGTTTACTCATTAGAGATAACTCACCTAAATACCAACATCTCTAAGCCTCAGTTCCATGATCTGTAAAATGGGACCAATGATACCCTTCTTATAGAAATTTGTGAGAATTAAATAAAATAAAGTTTGTAAAACACTTCACACATAGAAAATACTCAGCAGTGGTAGCTACTATTCTTACTATCTATTCTTCCACTATATATGGCAATATTTTTTTTCCTAGATAGTAAAGCTTAGGAAAGTACATTTTTTTAAATGATGTTAAAACAGGACTTGGGTACACATTAAACACATCCAATATAACCATGTTAAGGCATCTGCCAATATTCTGTGGAATTTTGTTCCACATGCTCAAAATCTAGTACATTAGACTTCTGAACTCACTATTCCTTCCACCTGGCAATCTTTTTCATATGACAGCCACATGGCTA